TGCCGGAGATCCCGCTGTTGGAGGAGGCTCTCGGCCAAGAGACGAGATACCGCTACCTCAACATCCTCCCGTGGGTCAATGATTACATCATGTCCTTTGGGGAGAAAGAGGGTAAGTTTTCATTTACAATTATTACAGAAACCTAACTAAACTTTATTCTAGTAAAAGAAGCCCTTTGTGAATTTTGCTTTACACGTCACTCAACAATCTATTGTTTAGATGAGTCTAATAGAGTTTGCAATATAGAAGAAAATATAGAAGCAAGTTTTCTTAGCATAGATTTTGATGCATGTTAGTTGATGTACAACATTGGGTTCTGTGAGTTTTGCTCTACATAGTCCGCAAGGTTATATGTTAACAAAAGTTAATTGAAATTCATACTTAAGCACCTGCATTTTTTTAGATACCATCACTTCTGTCGACTTGCGAGGGGCGTTCACCCGTGACTGCTACGAAAGGTGAGCTAATTTCTAAATCATTTACCGACTATTCATATGTGTGTTCAGACTGGTCAAAATAATGGTTCATTTACTTACTCTAATCCTGGGTCAGATCAAGGATGGTTTCTTAGAGGGCACTGCATGGCGTTTTGAGTTTCCGGTGTATAGCCCCAATACGTATTTGAATAAAATAGTAATTGTAGGTATACATATAGCAGATTTGCAGAGTTATTGTCTACCAAAATAAAATGTTATTGTTTGCCAAATAAAATGTTTGGATGAATATTATTTTCTTGAACTTTCGGGAAAGAGCATGACCCCGTAGAAATGCGGTTGGCCAAAGCACAATATTTGTGTCCCATTCAGACAGTAACATCGGATTTTTTATAGTAACATCGGAGATGGGCAGAACACAGGAACGGACGACATCAATCTGAACGCAGAAGGACTGGCAATTATGAAGGAGATTCTGTTGGAGACCATCACCAAGAAGTAGTTATGAGGTAGTGTCACGTAGGATATGAGTAATCTTTAGTGATTAGTTGGGCAGTAATGCTTCCAAATTAGATAAACAAATAAGCGACTGTAACATGGGGTCTATAACTCAACTATCTATCAAAACCACGAATAGAAGCTTTATATAAATTACTTGACGACTCTCCAGTCTTTTTGACTAATGATGATGATGCAAATTCCCTAAAATCCGAGTCTCATTTGTAAATTAGTATAAAATTGTACATATTATGTTTTATAGTGATTTATTAGTATAAGTATTTATTAGTGTATCATGACACAATCCATCCAACTTTTGTTGGTCAAGGATGAAGAAATCAAGTATTACAAGTAAGTATATGACAATTCTCCAGCCCCTATGGCCGTAATGGGGAGGACCAATCTAACGATGTATACATTAATGGCCGCCTTGTGTACTAATTCAGGATATTTTATAATATACCATTGTGTTTTCCAAGAATAATAAATGATAAAATAACTTTTGGCAAAATCCTCTTGTTCTTTAAAAAAACGTTCCGAGTTTATTGCTTGGTCCCTAAACTGGGAATGTTGAAAATAATATTTTTTAAGTTCTGGTTTTGCACCTTCTTAGACAAAGTAATTCAAACTGATAAGAATTTTGTTAGTAAGTAAGGGAGAATTATATGTTATTAGAAAAAAAGTGAGAAACTAATATTAAACCATTTTTTTATTAGTTACCCTGACAAAATCAGTACTTACATATTTTAAAATATACAACCCTTGTGTATATGTATTGTGTAGAACATATTAATTTATTATGTTTCAGGTACCTAGCGCCTCTCAACCGAGAGGCCATTTTTGTATGAACAACCAGGTTTGTGTTTAATATTGAATCTAGTTGTTCTCATACACAAGTGGCCAATGTACATTTTAGAGCTGAAAGTCGCCTAGCATGCTGAGTTCAACCACCGACTCCCCGGACCTGCTGCTATGGTGATGGTTGCAGCTGTTATACATGTACGTACACTGTAATAGACCGATTGAAGCGTATTGTTATTCTTTGTCATTGATCATTATTTATATCTGCCCAAATTGTTTCCAAATCAGTCCTTATCCATAGTTACCATGATAGTTTGTTTGATTTTGACTCCTCAAAACACAAGTTCCACTTATAATTTCTTATTTATTTTCTTGGAGAAGCTCCAATAAAATTCAGTGCACATTTAAATAATTAAACTTTAACAACCTGAATTAATTAACGCTGTGAAAAGCAGTGTCACTTCAACAAGGCCCAGAAAACAATTTTTTACTGTTAAAGTTGTCCCTACGAAAATAATGTAATTATTTTTATCATGGGTTATTTATTTAACACAAATATTTTTAGATTTGTCAAACAAATTATAACATACTAAGAGCCAAACAGTTTACCCAGCTTTATTAGAGGATTTAATTTTTATATTCACCCGTCCAGACACTAAGATAGGTATTGGGAGCTTTTATTGATTTCTGTCAGTGTCAATTGGTCAGCAAACTACAGTAAAAGGTAATTGCAAACATAATTCACCTTAATAACTTTATTCCCAGAGACATTGTTACAAGCATTGAGGTACAAATGTTCGTGTACCATGCCAGTGTGGTGAAACCAACCTAACGTTTGTTGGTGAGAGGAGAAAATAAAAAAAATATTTTAGAAGTTATAAAGAAGTCATTTTTTTTTGCAGGTAATACTGTCATTAACTTGTTTATCTAGAAGGGCCAACATATTTATATTTTGCTCATAGTAATAAAATAATGTAATGTTTTTATGCACAATAATTATTAGAAAGGTATTAATATTATTCTCATAATTAATAATTTTACCACAATTCGGGCTATATCATATTACCGACCTATTAGCTGTCAGGATTTAGAAATGGAAGCAGAGTATTACATCAAATCCTAAAAAAATAATGTCAGGTGGTAATAGGTTGAAGTTTGATCAGCATCAGAAGAAAATGGCTTTTTAAATGGTCAATGATAGTTTTTTGATTAACAAAAAGATAATTGAGCATGTGTGCAGGTCAAAATTTGTTTGAGCAAGATTTGATAATCATATAGCTACCAATCAATTCAATAAACCTTTTATGCTAATCAACCACTTTTATATCACTATCATGAATTTCTAACAAGCATTTCAATGAAAAGGGAAGAAATGGTGACTTTTTTTGTAAAAAAGAAATAGTTGGCATCAAGTGTTTTAAGCAAAAGTTTTAAGGTATCGAAAATAACGATAGTTTTTAGTCGATACAGAAAATGTTCCACAACTAGTCTGAAAACATATGTTCAATCACAGTGATGTTAAACTTAATGTTTACATTATAGAGTTGCCAAAGTTGATAACGTTATAAAGTTATAAAAGTTTTCTTGGAAACTTCTGTGTAAATGTGACTATTCTTATTTTTGCCGCAGTAAGTTTAATTCAGGCATACCAAAATTATTAAGCACTAATCACTTAAAGAAATTAGGTTTTGTAGTGAATCCTAATTTTTAAATAAAATTCTATACCAACATTGTTTTTTCTTTTTTCAGATGACTCCTAATGAACTAGTTTTGTATGTCAGAGAGCTTCAAAGCCAGAAAAAAGTAACCAAACGTTACAGCTGTTTTTGGGAAAGTTTGGAAGTACTCTTCAAGCTGTTTCGCATTATGGGATATATGCCGTACGGCACGGACTACATGACAAGCAAAATCAATGTGTCGTTCAAAGCTGTGTTTTGGGCAATATTTTCCTTCGCAGTTCAATCAGTTGTGATGACCTGGGGTAATCAGAAGGAGTTTAACACGGAAGACAATTTCAAGTCATACGTAAGAGTTCTCTACTTTACATTGCGGCTTATAAACACAAACACAACTATCTTTTTCTTTTTAATATGGTGGGAAATGCCAAAGATAATTAGATACGTCAACAAGTGGCTAGATTTTGAAGAAAAAATGTCATCTGTCGCTGGAGTTCCCAAACTTTCACTTACTCCACAAAGAGTAAAGTGGATCACTGCAGTCTTTACTGTACTGTTGATCCTGATAATCACAACTGACCAATATCTATTTTACAATAGGTTTTGTCCCATACTTGTTCTTACATATTTTTTTTCAACGTACATGAATCTTCTTCTAAGCCTATTCTGGATACTCAACTGTATATTCATCGCAGGTATTGCATCAAATTTAAGAAACAGCCTTGTCAATTTGTTACTAACAAAGCCCGACCGGGAGCTGGTCAATGCCCACAGACTCTTATGGGTCGATCTGCGCGATCAAGTGAATCATTTTGCTGAAGCTATGCGACTGCCGTTTATGATTCACATCTTCATCAACCACATAGCGCTGATTTTCAACACTTACACATTGCTAACAGTGATTCTCGCCTCCAAAGACACAAGTATTCTTATTGATGTGATTCTTCCACAAATCTGGACTGTGGTAACTGTTGTGTCCATTTGTGAAGCAGCACATTACGCGTGTCTAGAAATTGGTCAAAAGTTCATCTGCACGGTCCTCTCTGGGAAGTCCTCCTTTCATGATGTGAGTATTACGAAGGAAGTTGATTTACTTTTAGAGACAATGCAGAAAAATCACCCAGAAATAGTCCTCGGAGGGTGTATATCCGTAGGTCGTGGACTTCTGATTCAGACTATAACGGCAGAGTTAACATACAACATAGTTTTAAGTCAGTTTGATTTGAGTATTTATTAATAAAGTTGATTGAGTTGTTTACTTGTATATTTTATGTAAATCTATAACATCTTCCTCTCCCATTATCTGGTTCATAATTATGCATTTAACACATTAGGATATATATTAAAAATTTTAAGAGGTGTTGCTAATGAATCTTATATTTTTGCGGAAGGGAGGGATATTTCCTAATCTTTAATATATACCTCTTCATGATATATGGAAAGTTTTCATTTACACTAATGGACTTTACAGTACAATCAAAATTAGGCCATATCTTTGGCACAAAACCCATGAGAGACAGTTTTGGAGATTCAACATGTTGCAAGTTTTATCTACACAGAGGAAACGGAACGCAAAAAGAACAACAATGACTAATAAATTATGTTCATTCTATTTGCATATCTATATACACGATTAACGTTTTCAACAATTTCAAAATTACATTTTAGAGACAATCTAGTCAAATTTAACACTAATAAACTTTTATCTGCAAAACAATACTGTACACAATTTTGATGCCTAAAATGAAAATACACAAGTTATTTATTAGAAATGCAATTATTTCTTCCGTATCATTTATTTACCAACAGCTTTAAGCAGTTGATTGAAAGCTTTATTTACTACAGTTTTCAACTGTAATTAACTGTTCACAAGCACAATGAACTAGCACTTATCATTCACGCTGATCTTGCTCTCTGCTTGCTGCGTTTCGACGGAGGCACGAGGTGGTCAGGTAGGTTCATGGGAAGGTCATGACCATCCAGCCGAAGGTCAATCAGGTACATCGCAAGGGCGAACTCATCAGCGTCCAACAACCCATCTTCGTCAGTGTCCGCCAACCGCCATATCTTTCCCAGCACCGAGTTCGGCAATTTGGACTTCATCATCTCTTCTCGCACGGCTGAACAAAACAATGTGAAATGTATACTCGCATAAGCATAATGCAGGAAAATGTACAGAAAAATTAATTGCTTTTCTGAATTACGCGCCACAATTAGTACGAGACCCATACGATGTCACGGTTTAGAAAAATACATAATGCGATTGCCAGATTTGTTCAGTAAATAACTATGAGGCAAAGTAAACACTACTAATAGTAGCTTTTCAGTTTAGTCTTGGTATTAACAACGGCAACAAATCTGTAACTATATTTATTCACTCATGACAAAGCTAATGGCAAGTTTGTATTTTTAATCAAAGTAAACGAACCGATCCTGTACACTAAATAATGTAATACAAATAAGGTAAAACATTGCTTAGCCTTCAAATGTTGAAACACACATACCTGACTGCATGACTTTTCCATTGACAGGGTTCAGGCCCTTGTAGATATCATCATACTTCGGCTTACGAGTGTTCACTATCCATTCTTGGTCGTGCTTGCCAGCATTTGCACCTTCTCCGAGGTGGTAGCCGAACGGAGAGCCCTGGGCGCGAGCAAACACACCACCTGCAACCATTATCATGATTGTGACTCTAAAGCAAGTAAATTCATATAAAAAACTAACAGACCTAGATAGACAAAATTGACCTTTGACCACTATTTTTTTACAGCAGTATTTTAAAATTTATTTCTGCATAGAAGTATGAAAATCATTCTAGGGTACACATGTATTACAGCACATTTAAAAGAATTAACTACAGAGTGTTGTCTGTTTAAGCTAAATGTTTTCCCACTCAGTATTATTATCAATTTCGAAGGTATGACAAAAATGTACATAGCAAATGTACAACCATTCTTTGGGCTTACCACTCATTCACTGACATTTAGAATGTAAATTTTATAAAAATATATGTTCTGCATACAGTACTTTAAAATAATTTCTTTTACTTATAGGCCTATATCATACGGGCGCTATTGCGGCCGCGTTGATGCCTTCGCATTGATGCCACTCTAACCCGGCAATGGGGTTCTTATGGAGCTTGTCATACAGACGCTAATGCCGTCGGCGAGTCCTCGTTAGCTGGTTCTTATAACGTGGACGGTCGCGTTAGCCACGTGGCGCTAGTGATGGAGGACTCTGTCATATGGAGCGCTAGCGTCAGCGGGATGCATTTACCACCCAACTACTGGCAGAACAACTGGAAGACCTTTTCGGAGTGATCATCATGTTTGACACAGAAAAACGTATTCATACAGTTGAAAATTGTCCTCCTCTGTACGATGTTAAGTTGAGTGGTTATAGCAAGAAGCAAATAATTTATCATTCATTATTGAACCACAAGCATACCTGCAATGTCAACCCCCGTGGCAGCCTCCTGCGGCACGAGTGTCATGATGTCTGCGATGTCCTTGGCCAACATCTGCTCTACTCTCTGTAGCATCTGCGGGTCCAAGGGACGGAACTTGTCAAAGTCTTGGTGAGACAACAGTTCCTGTATCAACAACAGGGTCAAATAGGGGACAGTCAACAGGTATGTCAAATCTTAATCCAAGTCAACAGTACCAAAACTACCCAGGGTCTCAGAAGCATTTTGAGGTTAAATTAGACAAAAGACACTTTATTTTTCAAGTAATTTCAACTGCCAAGAACAATTTTATTGTTGAGATCTGGTCATAAAAGACTTTTTTGTTCTCGATCATTAGAGTTTTCGGGAGGTGAAATTTAGAGAATGAAAGAAAAAACATCGTTACCTAGTCCTAATTATGCTGTCGCTGAGCTACAGTTGACAATATATCTATCTTGTGGGACTCAACGTTCTGTCTTTAACTTATTTATTGGATTGGCAAAACAATGGTAGCTAACTAAATTTATATTTTCGAAGGGCTAAACGGAAATACTTCACTTTTACTTTTGAGATTTTCAAAAGTTCTTAGAAGCCATCATTAGGGTGTGTCAAATTTAAATTCAGTAAAAACGCAAGAATATGATACAAACCTGCATTTTCTCGAGTTCAGGAAAATCGCCTAATGGTATTTGGTGCTGCTTCTCTATTTCTGTATAGATACTCTCCAAGTCTCTGATGACATTGCTTTTTTCCTGTTCTCTCCCAAAAAATCTGGGCATTTTATTGTAGATGGCATCAATTATATGTGCATGAACCTTTAAAAGTAAAAAAGTACTACATAAATCAGAACAGGGAATTAAAAGGGCTATCATAAAAGCTAGGAAAATTACCTGTTTAGACCTATACATTTTATTTACCGTACTAGTTTTTTTGAGTATACAGATTTTATTTAGTAAGGTTATTTAAAACAAATCTAAATAATTACAAATTACGTCAATAAATCCAGTGTATTTATGGAGGACGCACGTTTTGACCTTTAGGTCATCTTCTGCTCCGCTGTTGCACTAGGTTATTCCATACTTATTGACAGACTAGAGGAAATGGCCATATACAAGGGTTTCAAGATAAATAAAAATATTTTAAATGAAAAAACTCATTCAGACGCCAATCCTGTATATGATACCATTAATCGACTGTCAGATAACAAGAAGAAGTGAGTGCAGACAAGTCAGTGCTGCCGCAGTCCTGAGCCTGTTCGGCCGTGCGCACGGTGATAGTTTTACTAAATGTTTTTGTCTTCGTCAGTGTCGTGTTTTTGTGTTTTTATGTTTACGTGGTCAGACTATGTTTCTAAATGTAAAATATTTGACGTGGTTGCTACACCAACAATGCAACTAAGTATGGAATAACCTAGTGTAACAGCGGAGCAGAAGATGACCTAAAGGTCGAAACATGCGTCCTCCATAAATATACTGGATTGATTGACGTAAGTTGTAATTATTAATTTAAACATCAATCTGTTAGCTACAAATCAATCATGACAAATCTAAATAGGCCAGCTTTAATATTAGCACCCATAAACACTTATTTGTTCTGACATGTGGGGAGTTGTAAACAGCTTTATACTGCACTGAACAACTCAGCTGATCACTTTAAAAAATTTGTCAACTGTTCAAATAGGTACCTACATATATGTACCTATTTATCCTGATATTTTTTTCTTCCCGAAAGAGAGATACCGGAACTAGGTTATGCCACAAATAGAGCACTGCCTATATCTGAAATGCTATTTAAATGTAAAAGATCATGATTCTTAGATTTTTGCCAAATAACCATGGTTTGAGTGCTCAGTGCTTCATCCAGGAAGTATTATTCTAGCCCTTATTAAAGTATTCCAATGCTATTCTAATACAGTTCTGTATTAAGCTACGGCTACACATAGCAGGATGGGATACGGACTAGCCATTTGCTGATGGATGCTTCCTGTGTAACCAAATGGAAGCGGCTATACGTACAGGGATGGGATAGGGACGGGACATGGGATGAAAGTGTGGTAGTTTTTGTGAGTCGTCGGCTATCTTCAGCTCTCATCGTGTGGTTCTGATTAACAATATGATCCTTGTTAATTCATTTTTGTTCAATTAACCGTGAGTCAGTCTTTGCATCTTTGCTTGGATTATCAAACAAGAAATTACAAAATTAAACAACCTCTCTTTTTTCATTTATTAGACGAGTCCATAATGTTCTTCCTTTTCTCTTGTTTTCTTTATCAAACAAGCAGATTGATAAAAACTCTTTGTTGGACTCAGACGGAGAACAGGTTGAACATTGCTTTTTTCATGATAATAATGGCAATAAATGGCGGGGCGGCTAAGCACCTGAACGACCGAAGCGTCAGTGGTGGGTTGAAGTGGTGTGCATCATTCCTCATATCTGTGTCAGTGTCCTTTTCTGCTATGTGTAGGCACCCCACGGGAAATATTATAATCTGTGTGTAGCAGTATCTTTAGAATTCACAATATACCTACAGGCCAACGCCGCCACACAAACTTCGGTCGCAGGATAAAAGGAGCATAAGAGGGCATTTGACATTCGACTGTTAGTCTGATCATCAAGCTGGTAAACTAATTTAGTTCTGATAAACTAAATGGATGGTGATTGATGAGTAAATTATGACCCAGTGAATTACAGTACCACTAATATGAATATACATAAGCAAACCTTACTTTGGCCAACCTTGCTCTTTTACTGATATCATTAATCTTTCTTAGGGCTGAATTCCTCGGGAGGGACTGAATATCTTTCATCAAATCTTGTTCTTCATCTTCAAAGAGCCTAAAAAATCACATGTGATTTTGTAAGGCCTCTTTACCAAAATATTTCATAACTTATATTTAACTTCTTAAAACTGAATAGTCTACAAATAATACATTTGATTAGTAACTCACCTTCAACTGATTCTTTGATGAATAAATTTATAACAAGCTAATATTAGGATAAATAGCTTTGCATTATCCTAATTAAAGGTTAGGGGCCTACCATATTAAATAAGAAATAATTGGGTCAGGCAGGGATACAACCGAAGCTTTATAAAAGCATCATAAGCTATCAGTATCAATGGTTACTGAGGAATGTACATTGCAAAACCAATCATACATGAATAAACTAGACTACCTTCTATTGATGTCGTATCGAAGAGGCTCGTCCCAAAAAGATCCCACGTACACTCTGGCGACTTCTGGAGTATTCAGCACTTTGCCCAGAGACCACATCAGAGCACCGTACACTCTCAGCAACGATTGGTGATCAACTCCATCGGCCTTGTTCAATACAATTCTCATCTTGTCATCGTGTCCTCTTAGAGCTTCAATCGCCCGTCGAAATTCATCTGAAATGTCTAGTTTGTTTGCATCGAATAACAAAATGATTCTGTCGACTCTTTCAGCGAACCATTCCAAAACACCGGCAAAATCATACCCCCTGTCGACTCTTTGTTTCTCACCAGAAAGAATTCCCGGAGTGTCGATGATTGAAACCGAATCTAAAACTGGCGATTCAACGAGTGAACACTGGAACCTATTTAAAAATGATGTTCCAAACTTGGTTAAAGGCTTAAACTGTTTCTTAGGATCCAAGACTAAGGCATTACCGGGAATACAGTTTCCCTTTTCACCCTTCATTATAACTATGAATCTATCGGTGGTGGGCTCAGGGCCGATGTGACATCCAGGAAATTCTTGCTCCAGCAAGTACTTGATTAATGTCGTTTTCCCTGTTGAATACTGTCCAATAAACATAATCATAGGTTTGGCATCGAAATCTTGATCCGTCAACATTGGAGAATGGAACTCATGAAACAGGTATTGTTCTTCTAAAGGTAGTAGTTTGTTTTGATAAACTGTTCTAAGCCTGTTAGAAACTGTCCCAAGAAGAACTGAATTTTCTTCATTCTGCTTATTCCTTAGTCTGTAAATTATGTATTGGATTAGACATTGTTTCAAGAGAGACCATAAGCATTATTAGTTAACAAAATAAATATAAAATAATAGTGGTTTAGTTACCTTTACTTTCGTCCCAGTTCAATAATAATAATAATAATAACTTTTTAAAGTTGTAATATCTACAACCATGGTTTCGACGCTAGTTACTTACTTACTTACGTTACGTACTAGTTGCGTCATGGTCACGTAGTTAGCAAGTCGAGAAGTATCTTGTCATAGTCGGTCGCTTGGACGTCGTCATATTTACACAGAGAGTGTTCTCCTGCCGGCTCCTGCGACGGTACAAGTTAACTGTTCACCACAGGCCTGTGTTCCGTCCACGAGAACCGTTTATTTTAATCAATGTACGTGAGTGTTTATGTCTGTGTCCGTGTTTGTGTGAATATGACGACGTCCAAGCGACCGGCTATGACAAGATACTTCTCGACTTGCTAACTACGTGACCATGACGCTACTAGCGTTGAAACCATGGTTGTAGATATTACAACTTTTTATTGAACTGGGACGAAAGTAAGGGTAACTAAACCACTATTATTTTATATTTGTCTTACCAGTTTAGGGGCAAGCCACAACAATGAGTAACAAAATAACATGGTTATGTGTTTTACCATGGTAGCAAAAATTTGACATTTTGTAATATTATAGACATCCCAGAAACAAAAGAAAAGAACCCTGGGCCATTTTGAGCCACGCAGGTTTGAAGGGTACGCCACACCTACCGGCGCGAATCACGTGATCTTTTAGTTTCTGCGCAGGTTGTTTTGTTCTTGGGATGTCTATAGGTAGGCTATATAGGTCTACTAAACATACTCTAGCCTTAAGTTTCACCACAGACTATAACTGTGGTTTCACTGACGAAGTTTAATCAAGAAATTAGCCAGAGGATTGTAAAAAACTAAGGGGTTAGACAATTGACGATGAGTCATAACTCAACAACCCGCCATCTTGGTGTAAGTTAGCTGCATACTGTTGTCCTAGAAACTGATCAATCAGAGGCCGCCGGTGCATTATGCACCGTACAATTTTTCTGGTGCATGAATCTTGCACCGGTGGAGAAAAAAAGAGGAAAGCTGTCTGCTAGGGGTAGACTGTATCTGTTGGCACAAATAACCGAATGAAAATATCGATTATTTGATATATATCGTTTGGTTAGTTAGGTAAGGTTAACCGAACCTAACTAACCGAACGATATAACAAATAACTTAATCAATATTTTCATTCGGTTGTTTGTGCAAACCGAATGAGTAATAGCCTACTGTATTGATCATTCTATTGTTTGGGTACAGTTTCTTAACTGGGCTATGCTAATATCGATTGAAACTATCGAATTGGAAATATTGATTAACTCTTTGAGTGCCAACGTCCGGGGAACCGGACGTTTTTAAAACGAGCCAAAAGTGCCGACGTCCGGCCGACCGGACGTTTTTAGAACGAGCCAAAAGTGCCAACGTCCGGCTGACCGGACGTTTCGTAATGATCGAACAGTTGTCATAACAACCGAATGGATACTCGGATTCTTTTAACCCATATATTAACATTGAGTCGAAAGTTACTAGATGCGATACATCGATTTTCGTTGGTCGAAATATCGAAAATTCGATTTTTACGAAATTTTAACCTAAAAATCGCCAGATCGCGCTCGGCATTTTTAGCGCGACCTTCGGGAAAAATCATTGGCATTTTTTGAGAGTTACTTTTATTTCTCGCCTGGCACTCTAAGGGTTAATAATCGATATTTTTAAATATATCTATTTAAAATTAAACTATCATAACCTAACCTAACCAACCAAACTTGCTGATGATGAAAAAATCGCATGAAGTTATAGTTTGTAACTATTATTATTATTATTATTATTATTTGTTGTCATGAGAGCCGAAGCCCCCTGACTGCTTACCCGGTACCTATCCTTCAGGACATACCCGGGCCCCATGATGTAGGCCGAAGCTTACGCATCAACCTTTAGCACATCATGGGCGGATGACTTAAGGTCATCAGGCTCGCCGGCTGCCGAAGCAGACCCTTCGGAAAGAGGGTTGCCCCTCAATCCTAACCAGGGATTCCGGCTGCTTGTTTAAGCGTCACTCCACCTGGGTTCCACTAGGTCGGAACCTAGAGGTCCATAGTAGAGCGCCCCGACGCATTTAGTGCAAGCAACACTCGGGACCTATCTCATCCCTAACAGGCAGAACCCGCCATCAATAGCCAGGAGGAAGGGGACCATCAGCACGCTGACGGGGGGAACCCCAACCTCCCATTTACACCGCTGCCCGATCGAGGCCTTACCCATTGCTGGGAAACCAGAGATAACCAGAGCGATAGATCCCCAGATACCCCTGGCGGGCTCGGACCCAGCACCCGATCTACTTCGTTTGCCCGTCAGACCCAACATCACTGCCAGGCCATCAGGGTTTCCCAAAAGGAGGCAGGTATAGAAGTGGGACCCACCCGGATGAACCTATCCACCAGAGGTGGCGACACCCTTGACTCAATTGAGGTTCCGGGAAGAACCCCCCACACTCAAGATAACCATACCGTCCGTGCTCAGAGACAGGGATAGGTTTGCATAAGTACCTACAAACCGTTGCCCTCACACTGCGGAAAGTTACGTTGCCCTTGAGTGTCCCCGTGAGCTGCGGGTACTTGCCCGTTTTCACCTCCAGGAAAGGTTACTTCCAAAGTCGAGGATTTGCCCACTGAATGCTGGTCGCACACAACAAGCAGGCCGAAGCCCAAAGAACCACAGACACAGGTAGGTTAGAGATTATGATGTAGGTACTTCCATCTCTCCTAGAGCTAAACACCCCTCCATCCTGGATAAAGGAATGTCACTGGGACCCGATGCCCAGTCGACCATGTCTGTGGCCAACTTGAAAATGCCGATACCAACACGGAGCATTTACCTCCCCTCTGGGGGCTAGGTATTTCACCTCCCAGGACGAGGCTACTTCCAAAGTCGAGGATATGCCTCACAAAATGTCAGTCGAACACAACAGGTAGGACTCAGTCACAACCACAGTTACAGGTAGATGAGGAGAGGCGGAATTAACGGTGTCACTGAGAGCTAAACACCCCCCCCACCCTGAATGGAGGGAATGTCACTGGAGGCTCCCCCTAAGGGGCTGGCGCTTACCAGTCGTCCATAACTGTGGTCTACCTGAAGTGCCGGGTCTGACACCGGGCAGTTACCTCCCCTCTGGGAGAGCTAGGGTCCGCGTGGTCGCCCAGGCCACGAACCCACGCAAGCGTGAGCCCCCTGCGGTTATAGTTTGTAACTAATCGAATCAATAGTTTCAATCGATATTAGCATAGCCCAGTTAAGAAACTGTACCCTCGATCGATATTTCCATTCGGTTGTTTGTGCCAACAGATATGGAAGTGTACCCGAAGGCTTTCTTCACAGGAAAACTTCAGATGTAGGCCTATGCCTATTTAGCTTTCAACACCTCACTAAAATAAATGAACATATTCTTTCAAACATAAGTGTTCAATTCATTCTTACGCCTAAGCACACAAATTATGGTTTCATTGCTATAAAAGTCAATCTAAAAATGACTAACCCCAAAAATCCTCTTCTAAATACAGACGATAAAACGCTGTAGTTGAAGCCACTTTTGGCATGGATTTGTCTAAATAGCTTGACAGACATCATTTTTCGGAAATTTAGACACTTTACTTTTCTAAAGTTAAGAAATAATACAAAAAATCATTTTAGACCACCACCGACTTAAAACCGGCCACTGTTATACAGTAATAGTAAATAGTAAATAATGAAAATGAAATGAATTGAAAAAAGAGAAGGAAATGGTAAAGAATTGGGAGGGAAGGAGAAGGGCAGAAGGCGAAGGGAAGGGAAATACAAAAACAAAAACCATATGTTTATTAGCTGAACAGTAAACAAAATACATAGAGTAATTGTTAATATTATATACATTATAATAAAATGACATAAGATTATTTATTTCCATTAATAGTAAATATTACGTTACTAGTCCTAAAAATAAAAGGATTCATACGTGAATATAAACTACAATATTTTAATAGTTAAGCAAATGGTATATTACTAGTAAACATATTTTTGTATGGAATAACACAAACATCAAGTGATACCGTACTGAAATGAGGCAATTTGGATCTAGGGTACATCCATAAAGTTTTTCGGTAGGACGGCAGGATAACAACTTGATATTTGGGGGTGGCCCCCGCATAGAACTCCATTTAGTGGGTTTAATTAGTACCAGTATTGATGTATTTAACACGTCTTATTGGTTGTTGCGATGATTTCTTGTAATACGAACCAACAACCAAAGACTAACGAACACAAGTGAGTATGTTTAATCTATGCCCCGAATGGAAGCCTAAAACGGCATGGTTTCAGTGATCAGTAGCCTGCCTATGGTCTGAAAAAGGTCCAGCTGTGCAGAGCAGAAGGCAGAAATGACTTCTGCTTGAAACAGCTGATGATAACTAAGCTAGCTAAGCCTAAACACATCGAACATTGAATTGAATTGAACAGTTCAATGTTCATCGTTCATCATCCTCAAATCTCAGTTCTCGTATCTGCCTAGTTTTGGTAAGATTTCTGCCTAGTGCCTGTGCGATCTCCTAGTTTTTGTAAACATTGTGAAATTCTAAATTCGTTACTGCATAATTTAACTAATAATGCACAGTTTGTTTTTTGGTTTTTATGTTCCTTACTGGGTTTGGATAACAATTTTAATTTATTGTGATACTTGTTTTAAAAAGGTGAATAGGGGAAAGTCCCGTTTTCATCCATTCTACATTCTAAGCAAGCGGCCCTGAATTCAAGCTCATAGCTATTACTCAAGTCAAAACGCATGTTTCTCAATTTCTAGTAAAAGTAAAAACCCCAAGATGTCCTCCACTCAGAGTGGAATTGTGTGAAAGTCAATAACATGTTCCATGCTTTTGGCTTTGTTGTTAAAAGACCTTTGTATGGTGTACAAAGCTTAGGCATATTTACCTGTTCTTTTATTGTGATTTCAATTTGTTTTGATGAAGCTGCAACCAAAATACCAGTTAACTTAATTAGGCTACCTATTAAGAAAAAAATAACCGATAGGCCTATCATTTGCATGTAATAAGATTTGTCTGGCTATAGGCTGCTAGGCCTAAAACTTAGGCCTAGGCCTATATTGATTTATAAATCCTTCTAGTCTAAGGTTTTAAAAGACAACCTTATGTTGGCTATCAAAGTTAAGTTAAAATAGCCTAAGTTAGGCCTAGTTAGATTTTAACTAATGCTTGTGCAGTCATTAACACGTTCACTGCGGGCGTATCCGATCGGATACGGGCCGAGCGCTGTTCAGGTGCTGCCGTAACCGATCGGATACGCTCGGCAATGCCTTTCGTATATCATGGTTTTTGCTCTAGCGTTGGTCGAAGTCAGACCTACTTATTCCACGTTAGCGTGTAGTGGGTGACTTGCTTTTTGTTGTGTTGTAGGTTGGTAGTAAAATTTCCCTATGAAATCCCCGTCTGGCAAACTTAAAAATCAACTTGTTGTCCTGTCTTTCTTCCTCCAATTGGCAATATGATGGGACCGGCTACGTTCCAAGCGGTGCTGCTATCTGTGAGTGTTTTGCGAACTACGTCGACTCTTGTTATAAAACAGGACATCACCGCACGTTATTTGCTATTCGTCATACCGAAATATGAGAGCCAATCACCCGGCAATCGGGTTTGTTCGACGCTGCCGGCTGTGCCGCACTGGGGCTACGCCTGCCATTTGATGGCCCGCAGCGAACCTAAGCTTAGATAGGCTACCATATTGTTTTAAGAAAATCCTTAGGCCCAACTAAGGTAATTGGGTGGAACCACGGACAAAAACCATCAAATGGCCTATTCTCTGTGGTAGAACTTACTAGCCTACATAACTTAAGTTAAGTAGGCCGCCATTAACTTATTACAACAGTTAATTGATTTAATTAACTGTTGTAATTAACTTATTGACTTATTAACTTTTTACCTTTACTTACTTTTTTACTTTTATTTATATTAACTTATTAACTTATTGTAATTAACTTAGGGTAACTTATTTTTTATTATGTTAACCTTGCTCTAAAAAATGATGTTCAAAAGCTATTGCAATCTCTGTGATTTTTCCCTCAAAACACTTAAAAAAAACAGAAAAATCCTATTTCCTTGTACATTGACCCCCCAAATCCTTGTAAGCTTAGGCCTAAGTTAGTAGGCTTTAACTTAACACCAGAAGAAAATCAAGTTTAAGCTTGTCTCAATATTTCTGAAGTTTATTGATTTAGTTATGTAGGTAGGTAGGTACAGCAAAAAATAACTTAAGCTTTGCCTAGATAAACATGTTGATTGCCTTCTAAATATTTGTGTTGTTTCAAATTCAGTGGGGAGGCTAACTTAAACTAATAGTTGAATATCAACAAAAATAACTTATGTTAGGCCTAACTTAAATGTTTCAGATTTTGTGGCAAGAAGAGCTTGAGAATTGAAGCTTGAGAATTGATGGAAGTCTCCATCACCCTGTGCGATGCTCGTTTGTGAATTTGGATTTAAAATGAAAAAGCATGGGAAGTCTCAGTAGGTACTGCTAAGTTTCCAATAAACATGACATAAAAGTTCTTCCCTACAAATCAAAGTAAGTATTGCAACTAAATATTAACTTAAGTTTAAATTCTCAATTTCATAATTGGTAGTTTTTTTTTTTTGGCAAAAGTTTGATAAGAAGTTAAGCTTACCCTACTTACACTGATTAAGGTAAACATACCAAATACCTGACACCCACCAAATACCGAAAGCGCCGGGTTTCGTCTCAAATAAGCATATATGCTTCATCTAATCAACGCCAACTAAGCTTAATGCATTTGTTGGCATTTAATCTGTCTGAAATGGGTTCGTAGATTGTCATTGGCCACTAAGTTAGATCCAGTGAGCCGCCATTGGTCATGCTGTACACTGTTTCGGCAAATTTCTAAAATCGCTTGTCCGTTTCCTTAAGAAAGCAGTTGAGCTTTTTAGGCTTTAATAACTAGGGCCTATACCTGCAAATTGAATATTTAAATATTTTTCTTTAATTTTAAACCATATTAAAGACCCAGAAACTATTGTAAGATTAATTTACAAGCCGTCCAGAGTAAGGATGGTGAAATGTACACTAAACCTAAGTTCCTGACACATGATTGGAATTAGGCAGCGGCACTTCCTAACTCCGGATCATTAAGTTTTTTGTGATAGGCTATATTTACTGATTTTGACTTTTTATTAACTGTAAATTGCTAGGCCTATAAAATCCATATTAATTATAGGCTAAATAAAATTACCTATATATTTTCCATAATTTATAAAAAGTAGAGTACCATACTTTAAAAGAATAAAAGGGCTTCTTAGGTTCAAAAAAGTAGGCTAGCTCCAAACTACTGAGCTTTATACGTTTTTCGTGACATAGGGATTTTTACTTATTAACTTATTAATGGCTATAAAATCCATAATTATTACAATTAAAAATGAATAACTTCTTGATCAGCATTTATGTGTTATTGAATTTACGGAAAGTAAATAAAAGAAATGTCTTATAACACACAAAACATATATTCACGCTTATACTGTTACTCACAAGACGGTAAATATTCAAAAAAGATGGTAAGTGGTGATCAATTTCAATTGGACACTCCAATAATCATCAGACCCAATAAGCGAATGTACCGCTTATTGGGGGAATGTTACCGTCTTGTGAGTAACAGTATAAGCGTAAATATGTGTTTTAAGTGTTATAAGACATTTCTTCTATTTACTTTCCGTAATTAAAAATGATAAACTTTCCAAAAATTACGAAAATGTAGACTTTAAGAAAACAATCTTGTTAGGAGATTTTAAGTTAATGATTTTCTAAGGCCTAATGAAGCAGTTCCAAACCTTAAGTATTTTGTGTTTTAAATAGGTACTTATAATGGTATATATTTACAAATTCACAAATATTTAGTACTTTGGAATTGGAATGTTATTCTTAATAGAAAATAGTTTCTTAGGCCTACTGAAGCAGTTCCAAACTACCGAATGTTACGTTTTTTTCTGTTATATTTACAAATTATTAACTTAACTTAACGGGAATTATTACAATCATAATAGCCTATATATTTTTTAAAATTCACAAAAATGGAAAAATGTAAGTTAGTAGCTTTTTTTCTTATTAAACGTTACCATACTTAGCAAATAACAAACCGGAGCCAACTAACCCTCATCTCCCCTTACATGACTGATTCCAAAATACCAACTGACCTGCCATGATTAGTCCCTCCACATTCCTACAGTAACCATGACATCATTCTGTCCTTGTTTATATTGAAATATGCAAAAAACACACCAGACGTCAACTCACCCCAACTCCACTTACATGACTCATATTATATGTGTAATTTTTAATTAATTATTGTTTAGTTTTGTCAACTTTCATAAAATATATTTTGTTTTAGGTTAAATGTTAATTGGTAATTTAGTTTCTATATCAATGAAAACGTAAACAGATAATCTCTAAATATAAACAGATAAAGACTCAATTTGAAGTTTACATACAAAAATAAAAATATATTGTTGAAACAAGATTTTGGATTTTGAACCGAATAGAAGTCGAGAAGGTAGATATTAAAATTTAAACCCATTACCATGCGATATATTTATCTCAGGTTTTCTGCAGAACTGTACCCCGGTTTTTTGCACGCTGAACCAAAAATGTAATAACTTATGTTTTTGTCCAAATAAAGAATTCTATTAAGTGTCTGAAAAACAAAATCAAAGATTACGAATTTAAGGTTCATTGAGCGTTTTGGATGGTGTCATGTTCAGAGGCCACATGTGGAGCGTGAACAGTTGTTTATATGTGATGCAAAACAAACAATTTAACCCACAATGGAATTCGATGCACAATGGAATCAATACATTTGGAACAATCCATTCTGAACGAGTTGGTCTGTTTCTATATGCCTACTAATAGAAGTTTGGACAGGAAAGAGAGCTTAGGACTGGACTAGGAGAGGATAGAGATGACGAGAATCTTCACTGGTATCCGGCTTGGGCCTACTTATTAAAAATTTAAAAATATTTAATTTTGGACCTAGATCAGTGAAAAGAGACTAATATACATAAATAATTTCATAAGTAGGCCTAGAAAATATTTAGTTTTCTTAAACAATATGAAGAATTTCATCCCTGTATGATACTTTTATTGGGAAATAAGCTATCTATTCTCTGATTCATTTTTCATCTCACAGCTCTTCGATGAAATTTATCATATTTGTTCGGAAATAAATTTCGTCTTACTAGAATGTAAGTAGACATAATTGGTTTTACTTTGTAATCGGGGTTTTGTTATGTAAATTATTGTGTGACGAATTTCCAGGTACCAAAAATTCGGCAAAATGTTGTTGACTGTCTACTATATGGCTGCCACATGGCTGCAATCTTGGCGTTTGAACTCTATGCGTGTCAAAATTGCCCAGTTACAGAAAAATAGAGGATCTCTCATTCTGTTTGGAAGCCAAGAGTCACCTCCTCAAGAAGGTAATGGAATACTCTTAGTAGTTTTTTAGACTCTTCTTTGGTTCTGGATCCTTAACTCTTTGGGTCTGTTTGAAGAGGTGTTTTGAAATATAAATTCAACAGATTAACCAGAAGCTATTTTGTCAGTCAAAATCTTTTCAATAGAAAACGTCGTCAATGCATTCAATCATATTTATGTCCAACGATTGTAGGGCCATGTTAAAATAGCACAAATATTTCAGCGCAGTCATCTCAGAAAATAGGGTGCTAAATTTCCATGTTACGCAACACAGCGGGGATGGGGAACGTGCATTGCTAGCGCATACCCCCCTTGTTATACATAACGCTGTCTGTGAGTTGTTTTATCGTATTGTATTGTGAGAGGGGTGGACTCAGGGTCCTACCACATCAACCGAAGCTTATTGTGCATTGTCGTATCATCATTCATTTATTTCACACCATTTAGAAACAATGTATTGATGCTGTTTTAAATAATTGCAAATATCATATTCACGTTCCAAAAAATTACCTAGGAGTGCTTAATAAAATATCTTTTTTCCTTACTAAAACTGTATTAGGTCCTAATCATAAGGCCAGTCCTTACCAAGTGGCCATCCCAGTAAAAAATGATAATTTTCAAAACTATCTCTAACGCCTTGTAATGTTAAGGCCAATCATGTCAGGAGCACTTTGACAACGATGTGTATAATCTTCCGCCTTGCGTCCGCCGTGTTCTTAGCGCAGCAGGTTTTGCTAGCAACGCTTAATGCCCGGCTAACGCAAACTCTCCGATGACAATGCTGCTCAGCTCGTATAACCTGCACTATGGATTTATCATTGTCCCAATGAACTTGTTCATCACGTGTTGCTTTGGAAGTTGGGCCGACCTCAAATAAGTATTGTTGATAACTTTTTACCAAGACAAAACAGAAGGAATTTGGGTTTCTACCGCTGTAGGAACTTGATAATCCAGTATGCTCAGTACTTTAACCACTACTGAAATTGCCGGGTTACTTTGTGGAAGTGCCAATAAAATAGAAAGTAAAACAGTTTTAATAGGGGTTACAACATTTCACTGAGTGCAACCGACCTGAGGCGCTTGCCCTACAGCTCTGCTTAAATTCAACTGAAAAAACAATCCTCGTCAAAAACATCCTTGAGGCTTGTTCAGTGTAAAAAAATCAATTTGACTCATGCTGAATGACAGAATTTTCCGGATTGTCCAACGCCAAGTTAGCTGGCTATTACTGTCGATGTACCTGATTTACCCTACTATGTTGGGATGATAAAAGTTGACCTGTTTCCCAGGAAGTGCACCAGTCCAAAGCAACTCCATCAACTGCAGTTTCTGCATCAACACCAGTGAGGCTAGGATCGGAGACTTGTTGTCTTATGTGGGAAACAAGCTTTGTCTGTCCATCTTCCCCCAGGTAAACACCTCTGTGTTATTACTTGACTTAAGATGTTAGAAAATACTCTCCTACTCTGATAGATAAAACCATTCCATATTCAGAAAATGTGAATTTTAAGTCTTGTGTTTTTCTTTATTGCAAAAAAAACATAGGGCATAAAGAGGTGTTAGAAAATAACAACCTTGATTTTGTAAAGCGTGTGAAATATGGTTGTAAAATGTTAATTTAATTGACCTTCAAAGGCAATTAAATTTTAACAAAATTAATAGAAATATGTATTAAAATTTCTAACAATTCAATTTTATTTAAATTTATTTCATACAAAAATTAAACACGAAGATATATTTTTCTATAGAGGAAATGAGATGATTGTCGGATAGGGATGGGTGGTGTCGCCACAGCTGTAGTGACAGACCATTCATTGTCATGCAGCCTTTAGTGAAGGCTATTGATAGCTTTTCGTTGTAATCCGAAATACTTAATTGGAAGACATTGGATTAAATGTATTGATTATGCCTAATTCATTTATGGTTAGAGTAAATAGAAAAATCTTTCTAAACAAATACCCAGGACTTTGTAGGCCTATGCATAAGAGCAAGTGAATGGTGTCTTGTCGATTAAAATTTAAGAATATTATTTTGATTTGTAATTTATTTTTAACACTTATGATGCTAGAACTATTTTTTAATTTTCCAAAATATGCTAGAGTTATTTACTTTTTTTGTTCGAAAAGTGCTAGGCTTACCACGGAAGCAAAGTCTAGTGTGCGACAAAAAAATGGGTAGAAATAAAATTTCTCATCTCAAAAGTGCTAAGGACAACAATATATCGGGCCTCATTTGTATGAGGAATCGAAAGTAACCATCGCTGTTTCGAAACAACAATGGAGTAGAAACCGATATGCCCATTTAAACTCACACAATGGAAAGTCGCGCCGGCACGATATATCATCGCTTAGCACTATTCGGAAGAAACGCTAACAACAATATATCGTTGCATAGCACTTCTCAGGAAAAAGAAGCACAACGATATATCGTTTGCATAGCACTCAAAGGGTTAACAAACAAAATAAGTATAATATTTAATATTTTATTTAGTCGGATGATGTATTTGGTAAATAAAAATTTTAAACAACAAGAAGCAAACTTGAACAAAATCATCTTTGATTTTCAAATTAAACTCTATAGGCCTAATTTAGTTTCAGATATATAAAAAGTTTTTTACCTTTGAGAGTCACAAAATCCAATTTTGTTTTATCTTAATCACCACGCTTTAAAAATCCAGATCTTGTAAAAAAACTTGTTTCCGAAAGTAACTTTCAAGTTTGATTTTTACATCTAGAAAAATTTTATATTTAATTTGATTACAATAAACACAGAACAAATCCAGGTTTACCTGTAGGTTGATTTTTGATGCTGTACCTAATCTACTTAGATAAATTTGGTGCATTATGTACGGTACACGATTTATAAATAATTCAGATGGACATATTTATGATTCTCTGTCTTTGTCTTAATGACTCTTAGACTTTTCCACTAAACAGGATTATCCTACTAAATGTGAACTTATAATAATCTTACATGACTGACTGTTTTTACTCCACTCATGCTTGTGTTGCTCATCCTAACTTTCCAATAACGTGTGACAAACAATGTGCTAATGTTGGTCCAATGTCCTCAGCAAGTGGTGGATACGTCCAGTTGGATCGGGGTGCCCAACAAAAAGACGTTGTTTCCCATCGAGCTGTGTGGAAGTCCTACAGCGGAGAGTTCAGATGAACAAACGATCCATGTTGTATTGGAAGCCGACTTCAACTCATTCAACAAACTCAATCCAGTCCCCAACTGCCAGGTGAATTATTTAATATGTAAATTAATGAGTTTGAATTCTAAATTTACTCTGTTTAAAATAATTATTTTACTTTAATAACACTATATAAGCAGTTATAAGCTGTATTTTTTAACAAATTTTTGTATTCAAAGGAGGTGCTTATCAGTAGGGTCAGTGTTCGTTTGTGTGGTAATTTACATATGAATGCTCCATTGAATTCATTCCAAACAAACTTAGTCATTGTGTTTCAAGTGTGTGCAGTATCAGTTCACAAGAAGAAATATCTTTACATGAGGTATCTGGAAGTTGTTGTTTACTGAAAATGTTTAATCATCCGTAGCTGTAAATATTTAGTGCTTACTGCTTAGTTATTCTTGAATGCATTTTTTTTTTAAATAATCAAGCTATAGGTAATCCACATCAAACATAACAATCGACTATATTTGTTGTGTTAGTAGCCTATATTGTTTATTTAGTTAGTATTTGACTAACTTTTATTGTAGAAGAATTTTTTTCAAATACTTGGGAAACTTCTTTCACCACTTCTTTAACTTTTTTCAGCCACATTCCTTAAATGTTGAGTGGTAAATGTTGTACGTATAGGAGGATAATAGAATAAATTCTTCCAACACTATTAGATGTATTTACATCTATTTCCTTTATAAACATTTTCAAAATGGTATATATAAGCTATTAGCTGACCCGGCAAACCTTGTTCCGCAATATTAATTGTAGAATTATAAGTTAGCCCAAAGTGAACAACTGCTGACGTAACCGTATACAGGGTGATCAACTCAAGGAGGCCACCATTGGAATATCGGAAACAGAAAGAATTAGAGTAAACTTTAAATGGGAGACATTCCTTTATTTTTTGTGGAAGTTAAAAATACTGTATGCATTTCGTTTTTTGAAATTCAGCCGTCATTTTCCAATATTTTTCAAATACGGTAAAACGGTGATTTAGCAATCTAAAAATTGTTTCATTTCTTGTACTATACTTGTATGAGTTCGAATGAATCCAGTAGGTTATTTTTTATATTGTGTAGGCTATATTATTTAATAATTCATAGATGTATAGCTATGTGAGTGTTTGGATTTTTACATTTTGAAAAAGTGATTTACAAGAACTTCTTAGGGTGGGAATTAGTCGTAAATAGGAGGATTCTAACAATTTACAAAATTTGATAAACCAACTTTTTAAGATCCAAACAAATGGTTCACAGCAAATGGGCTGAGTCTAAATTGTTTTAAAACTCAAATTATTAGGTTCAAAACTACTCATGACAGAGAAACTATCAAATAAAATATTAATTTTCAGGAAGAAATTATTAATGAAACGTCATCTAAAAATTTTTTTAGGAATTCAGGTACAAAACACTTTAAATTGGGATGAATACACACCAGTTCTAGTTAATAAACTAAATACAGTCTGTTTCCAGATGTCTGTCCTGCAGCATATTACTGACCTCAGGACAAGGATGATCGTTTATATTTATAAACTTTGTTTGTGTCAAACATGTTGTATGGAATAGAGTTCTGGGGCAGCTGCTTAAATGCCAAAACCATTTTCAAAATACAAAAAAAGATCCTTAGAATTATGCCATTTTCAAAACCTAGGCGATTCTGTAAATTATTATTTAGAGAATTACAAAAATTAACACTTCTGTCGGGTTCTGTCAGTTTATATCCTGCAAACATTAATATTGATAAAAAAAATCTTGAATCTTTGAAAACCATAACCATAATTATTTAACACGACATCAAAATGATTTACAACTGCCCTACAACTTACCTCACTTGAAACCCTTCTACTATATCTAGGGAAAAAACTGTATAATAAACTTCCAGAAAATATTAAATCATTAGAATCTCTTGAAAAATACAAAAAAGAAGTTACCAAATTGCTGCTTAATAAAGAGTATTACAAAGTTAATGATTTTTAAATGATGTATATATTTGATTTCTTAGCATATTATTGATTTCTAGCCTATAGTTATTATAGGCTAGTTTTATGTATTTTAATTGTCCATGACCATTTCACCTGTTTCCCAGCTATGCTGGATCTGTAAAACGTTGTGTGAAAATAAATTATTTGACTTTGACTTCTTTTCTGAAGTCTGAAAATACTTTTGTATCAGTTGCCTGTCCCCACAAAATCACACCATACCTAAAGATTAATTCTACATTCGTTTGATAAGGCATGTTAAGTGCTTCAATGGTGACACATTCCCTCAAGTGGACAAAGTCAAAGGACATTCTATCGAGGTCCAAGCTCTCAAAAACCTTTGCTAGAATAACGACCGGCCTATAGTTTCTGGCGTCAGACAAATCACCTTTCTTATGAATTGGTACAATGAACCCCTCTTTCATATTTTGAGGAAATATTCCCGCTCGCAACAATTTGTTGAAATAGAGAGTTATTATTGGAGCCAAGGGTTCAGCTCAAAATTTGAGCAGACTGGCTGGTATCGCATCTGGTCCGGCCTCCTTTTTAGAATCAAGATTTTTTCAAGAAGTTTTTATATTTTTTTTGAGTTTTTTTATGTAGGTGGAAGAGTTTGGTGTGGCCAGAGCTTGGCAGGCTGGGGAAGTGCTGCTGCTACTTGTGGAGTGTGATGAGGAGCAACTGTCTAAACTGACATCATTGTACATGTCAAACACCATTACTGTAGGACCTGGACTGGAGCTGCTTAGGATATTGTGTAAGTTCAATAGTAGATAACTGTTGGTACTAATAGTTAATGTAATAAATAGCCCAGAAATATAATGGAAAATGTTTTTTTATGCTGAACAAATTATTGATACATCTTTTTAACAATTACATCCAACCAAAACATAACATACAAAAGGTAAACAAGACAATACATATTTAATCAGGTGATGATGTAAAGACAAGATGAGAAATATTACTTCTCTAACACTTAATACTTCTCTAACTATTAAGGTACATATTATAGAACCAGATTTTTATTTTAAAAAAAATACCTCATTAAATTAGTTTCATAATATCCACGTGTAGCCTCAATCAAAATATGCTATACATTTTAGTAGCGTTAAAACTTGTTCCAACTTGTTACTGGTTAATAACCCAAACCTGAAAAAAACACAAACATTAAAACTTCGTATGCACACTATGGAACCATGGTTGTGTAAAACTTGCTCATGTTATTCTTGTATTTTGAACGACTCATTAACCTTGGGGATTTAAATAGCTCATATGGTTGCAGCGGTCGATGTGAAGGGAAAACCATGCTTACTTCTGAACGTTGATTCTATACCAGCCTACAACCCAGCGTCTCGCAGGGGATCTAGTAAGTATGGCTCTAACGGCATAGTAATGATCTTGGGATTAAAAAGCAGATGAAGACAACCACAATTACATTGTTATCTTTGTAGTACCTCAGTTTTAGTCCAAGCCAAATGATAAAGTTCTTACTGTTATCTTCCATTCTAGAAACAGGATTAAGTGTTTTTTCAAAATGTATACTTATATTATTTTGTAATAATTCTTATTGATGGTTAAAGAAGAAGTAAAGAACACTCAAATTTATCCCTTAATAAGAGAGAAACACTCAGTTCAAGTACAATACAGTACCAATAAGCGTAGTTGGGCATGAAACAAGTACCAAAACAAACCCCAGATTTCACAATAGGATGAGAAACGTACTTGCAGTATTCAAAATCAATGGTAAAGATAACGCTAACTTTAAAGACACTCTTAGCTTACTTTCAAAATATTCTTAGTATTCGTCAATGTGATTTTACCGATGGTTTTTTACATTTATTTACTATTTTAAATCCACCATTGTTTGTCACAGGTGTTCGCAAGAGAGCAGTGGCTGCTAGTCAGTGGCAGGCGCACGTCAGCGTGCTACGTAGCTTCAGTGTCTCTGCTGCTCAGGCGGCCAAACAACAAGCTCCTGCGCCTGTAGACGGTCACAGGTAGACTCTCACGTCTGTGAACTCAAATTCTCCATTCTTTGGTTATTGAATCCAGATTGAAGTCAAATGCTCAGGAATAGCTTCTAGATTTTTAACAATATTTAGTGGTAAACAGTAATCTTTTTCAAATCAAATGTCTGTTGTCAACTGTCGTTGTTTTGTAGAGCAGCTATGGTGGTGCCTGGGTCAGGCGCAGGCTTCACACCTCTGGAAGAGATCAAACCCCTGCCTGGCAGTGAGGAGCCTGCAAGAGAGGTACAACCATCTTGGTACAATGTTGATACAATTCTGCTTCAATTAAGTACGGTATAGGTCAACAATGGGACATTCGGGAAGAAACTTCTCACATTGACTCTTGGATACTAATGTAGACATTCCATCTATACAGACCACCTATAGACTATATAAAAAAAAAAATTACAAAGTGGCGCCTCGAATTAACTTAATCAATTTTGATAATTAAACTGGCAACAAATTTAACGTTGAAATGGAATGTCTAGTTCTATTATAGTTGAAGCTTCCTACTAGTCTTAGGAGTGTATTTTTTCTATTAAGTTCATTAATTTATTGAAGTGTGGCCAGTTCAATGTACCCTTCAGCTTTTAGTCTATCTCACTATATTATGAATTATAATAGTGTTTGAATCTGAACCTTAAATGATGACAGCTCTAATTATTGTTTTGTTTTTAAATAACATGAGAGAAGCCTTGAGCTAAGAAGCTAATTGCTTTAAACTTTTGTATTTTCTGATCTTTTTCCGTTGGTAACCTCTAGTCCTTTCAAGTTATTGTATGTAAGTGTTATTTCTAGATACATAAAATATTCTATTTTTTCAAAATTATAATTCCTAAAACTTAAATTTTGGCTGTTGTTCCTGTTTAGGTTACACAGTTATATTTGATGGAAAATCTATACTTCAATTTTCTGCTGTAGCCCTTGGATTATACTGAATCACAAAACTGGCTAAAATACCTGCTCCTGCAAAAAATCAACTGTTAATTATCGTCCCAACTAGTTAAAAACCCAGTTTGTGTGTAGTGGAGGGTTGTGTGTTGACTCCTCAGAAAGTAATCTTAAGTGTTGAATGATGTCGTAATAGTTCCATCAGAAGGTGGTCATGAAGTGAATAGTGATTATGACATCTTCGATGCCTTCTTAACAAGTTAAAAAAAGTAAAAATAAGCAACAATAAAATTACACAGAATCACGTCCTTAAACCAATTTGAAATTTATACAATTGAAATATGTAAATAATTGCAGTTAAAACACTTTGACTATATATGCTACCGTCATTTTACAGTTCAGTGACCCGATGACTGTAGCCACACCTACAGTAGAAGAGCTTCCCCCACTAGAGGATAGGTCAGTGTCTATGACCAGTCTCAGTGCTCAGCCTGGCAGTACAGGCTCTAGCTTCGGCTCTCTCAGTAGAGTCAGTACAGATACTCTCCAGGCCACCACTGCCAGTCAGGCCACTGCCAGCATACACTCAAGGTACAGTAGTCACATGTACAATAGAGGATAGGTCAGTGTCTATGACCAGTCTCAGTGTTCAGCCTGGCAGTACAGGCTCTAGCTTCGGCTCTCTCAGTAGAGTCAGTACAGATACTCTCCAGGCCACCACTGCCAGTCAGGCCACTGCCAGCATACACTCAAGGTACAGTAGCCTCATGTACAGTAGAGGATAGGTCAGTGTCTATGACCAGTCTCAGTGCTTAGCCTGGCAGTACAGGCTCTAGCTTCGGCTCTCTCAGTAGAGTCAGTACAGATACTCTCCAGGCCACCACTGCCAGTCAGGCCACTGCCAGCATACACTCAAGGTACAGTAGTCACATGTACAATAGAGGATAGGTCAGTGTCTATGACCAGTCTCAGTGCTCAGCCTGGCAGTACAGGCTCTAGCTTCGGCTCTCTCAGTAGAGTCAGTACAGATACTCTCCAGGCCACCACTGCCAGTCAGGCCACTGCCAGCATACACTCAAGGTACAGTAGTCACATGTACAATAGAGGATAGGTCAGTGTCTATGACCAGTCTCAGTGCTCAGCCTGGCAGTACAGGCTCTAGCTTCGGCTCTCTCAGTAGAGTCAGTACAGATACTCTCCAGGCCACCACTGCCAGTCAGGCCACTGCCAGCATACACTCAAGGTACAGTAGTTACATGTACAATAGAGGATAGGTCAGTGTCTATGACCAGTCTCGGTGCTCAGCCTGGCAGTACAGGCTCTAGCTTCGGCTCTCTCAGTAGAGTCAGTACAGATACTCTCCAGGCCACCACTGCCAGTCAGGCCACTGCCAGTATACACTCAAGGTACAGTAGCCTCATTTACAATAGAGGATAGGTCAGTGTCTATGACCAGTCTCAGTGCTCAGCCTGGCAGTACAGGCTCTAGCTTCGGCTCTCTCAGTAGAGTCAGGTCAGATACTCTCCAGGCCACCACTGCCAGTCAGGCCACTGCCAGCATACACTCAAGGTACAGTAGTCACATGTACAATAGAGGATAGGTCAGTGTCTATGACCAGTCTCAGTGCTTAGCCTGGCAGTACAGGCTCTAGCTTTGGCTCTCTCAGTAGAGTCAGCACAGATACTCTCCAGGCCACCACTGCCAGTCAGGCCACTGCCAGCATACACTCAAGGTACAGTACCCTCATGTACAGTAGAGGATAGGTCAGTGTCTATGACCAGTCTCAGTGCTCACCCTGGCAGTACAGGCTCTAGCTTCGGCTCTCTCAGTAGAGTCAGTACAGATACTCTCCAGGCCACCACTGCCAGTCAGGCCACTGCCAGCATACACTCAAGGTACAGTAGTCATTTGTACAGTAGAGGATAGGTCAGTGTCTATGACCAGTCTCAGTGCTCAGCCTGGCAGTACAGGCTCTAGCTTCGGCTCTCTCAGTAGAGTCAGTACAGATACTCTCCAGGCCACCACTGCCAGTCAGGCCACTGCCAGCATACACTCAAGGTACAGTAGTCATTTGTACAGTAGAGGATAGGTCAGTGTCTATGACCAGTCTCAGTGCTCAGCCTGGCAGTACAGGCTCTAGCTTCGGCTCTCTCAGTAGAGTCAGCACAGATACTCTCCAGGCCACCACTGCCAGTCAGGCCACTGCCAGCATACACTCAAGGTACAGTAGTTACATGTACAGTAGAGGATAGGTCAGTGTCTATGACCAGTCTCAGTGCTCAGCCTGGCAGTACAGGCTCTAGCTTCGGCTCTCTCAGTAGAGTCAGTACAGATACTCTCCAGGCCACCACTGCCAGTCAGGCCACTGCCAGCATACACTCAAGGTACAGTAGCCTCATGTACAGTAGAGGATAGGTCAGTGTCTATGACCAGTCTCAGTGCTCAGCCTGGCAGTACAGGCTCTAGCTTCGGCTCTCTCAGTAGAGTCAGTACAGATACTCTCCAGGCCACCACTGCCAGCATACACTCAAGGTACAGTAGCCTCATGTACAATAGAGGATAGGTCAGTGTCTATGACCAGTCTCAGTGCTCAGCCTGGCAGTACAGGCTCTAGCTTCGGCTCTCTCAGTAGAGTCAGTACAGATACTCTCCAGGCCACCACTGCCAGCATACACTCAAGGTACAGTAGCCTCATGTACAATAGAGGATAGGTCAGTGTCTATGACCAGTCTCAGTGCTCAGCCTGGCAGTACAGGCTCTAGCTTCGGCTCTCTCAGTAGAGTCAGTACAGATACTCTCCAGGCCACCACTGCCAGTATACACTCAAGGTACAGTAGCCTCATGTACAATAGAGGATAGGTCAGTGTCTATGACCAGTCTCAGTGCTCAGCCTGGCAGTACAGGCTCTAGCTTCGGCTCTCTCAGTAGAGTCAGTACAGATACTCTCCAGGCCACCACTGCCAGTCAGGCAACTGCCAGTATACACTCAAGGTACAGTAGCCTCATGTACAGTAGAGGATAGGTCAGTGTCTATGACCAGTCTCAGTGCTCAGCCTGGCAGTACAGGCTCTAGCTTCGGCTCTCTCAGTAGAGTCAGTACAGATACTCTCCAGGCCACCACTGCCAGTCAGGCCACTGCCAGCATACACTCAAGGTACAGTAGCCTCATGTACAGTAGAGGATAGGTCAGTGTCTATGACCAGTCTCAGTGCTTAGCCTGGCAGTACAGGCTCTAGCTTCGGCTCTCTCAGTAGAGTCAGTACAGATACTCTCCAGGCCACCACTGCCAGTCAGGCCACTGCCAGCATACACTCAAGGTACAGTAGTTACATGTACAATAGAGGATAGGTCAGTGTCTATGACCAGTCTCAGTGCTTAGCCTGGCAGTACAGGCTCTAGCTTCGGCTCTCTCAGTAGAGTCAGTACAGATACTCTCCAGGCCACCACTGCCAGTCAGGCCACTGCCAGCATACACTCAAGGTACAGTAGTCACATGTACAATAGAGGATAGGTCAGTGTCTATGACCAGTCTCAGTGCTTAGCCTGGCAGTACAGGCTCTAGCTTCGGCTCTCTCAGTAGAGTCAGTACAGATACTCTCCAGGCCACCACTGCCAGTCAGGCCACTGCCAGCATAAACTCAAGGTACAGTAGTTACATGTACAATAGAGGATAGGTCAGTGTCTATGACCAGTCTCAGTGCTCAGCCTGGCAGTACAGGCTCTAGCTTCGGCTCTCTCAGTAGAGTCAGTACAGATACTCTCCAGGCCACCACTGCCAGTCAGGCCACTGCCAGCATACACTCAAGGTACAGTAGCCTCATGTACAGTAGAGGATAGGTCAGTGTCTATGACCAGTCTCAGTGCTTAGCCTGGCAGTACAGGCTCTAGCTTCGGCTCTCTCAGTAGAGTCAGTACAGATACTCTCCAGGCCACCACTGCCAGTAAGGCCACTGCCAGTATACACTCAAGGTATAAAATCAAATAGAAAAGGAAATATCTGCTTTTCCTAGTTCTCTGTGTACTAGTTTTCACAGATAATTGTGGCTTTGATTTTGGATTAGGATTTAAATATTATAGTACAGACAATAACTAAAAATTATGAAAAACTCAGCTTCCTACATACATTTAAATTTTAGAATAACAGGTAATGAGGAAGTGGTAAGAAATTAATCAACATACATTCAGGCAATCTTACATTTCAAATGAAATTTATATAGGAATTTGTTCACACTTCAGAGCTATTGAAACAAGCTTTATTCAAGTAGGTTTAAGATATGACCTAACATTGAACTCTAGATAGATAAGTGGCTATCTTGGCATTCACGGCTGTTAAAGGATTTGTTTAATGTTAAATGTAGCTTACCAACAATGTGCCCATATATATTTGATTTTATTAGGTGAGTGTTTAGTTAGAAAACAATCCTTTACCTGTGAAAATAGTTTGTATGGCTTGCAAGGCAATTTGTGGATGTGTTGTTGCATAATCAGCTGTTTACAAACAGCAACGGCCTTGATGCAGTTATCTGTGTTGTAATACTGATAAATAAGAGTTATTTATACTCTTGGAATGGTTTTTTTACTTCCGATGGCAAACATCCAGATGAATTTTTAGCAAATATATCCACTTGGTGTTTAAAAAAAGTGAATTTGTCGAGACTTAAGGATACCCAATTATTACACAAGATTGATTTGTTCACCTAATGTGTAAATAAGATGGTCAGGTAAATAGAATTACTGATAGCACCAGTTAACTTTTGTGTTTTGGATTGTAAGTACGAATGAAATTGCTTAATACCAATGGAATGAAATTAATTAACAATTAAGTTGATTCCCCAACAAGAGCGATCCTAGAATGCCTATCCCCTATCTATGTTTACCTCAAATAAAGTCTTGATTTTACATGCATTGATAAAATGAACTCGTTCACAAGGCAACTTAAAAATCATACATTGTACCAGATAACTTTTTAACAGCAGCAAAATTTATCCAGTATACAATCGTATGACAAGTTTCTATATCTTAAGACTGGATAACTTAAATATAGCCGTACAGCAAAAAGGCGAGACTAAGCTATTATTAAGTACTTAGGGTTTTATTTTGTGATGTTTTTGCCATTGACGTATAATTGTTGGATATCTGTAAATAAAGAATGTATTCACGTTGAATTGATATCTACAGAGCTGGCCTGGTGAATGGGAGCAGTGGCAGTTTCAGTTCTCTGCGGTCAGCCACCAACACTCCCAAACACATCAAGGTGACTGTCCCTCATCACGCAGACACCACGGGCAAACCTCCCAACATCATTGTGTTCAGCGAGAGTTCCGTGTCTGCGGACAGCGTCAGGAACACTCTGCAATCCGTGCTGCACAAGCATAGGTGAGTGAAATCATTGTAACATCAGTTACACAGACTTGGGTCATTCTCTCATGTCATTTGCGTGTAGGTTTTGTGATTTGAATAAGAAAGAGGTCAGTTAGTCAAAAACATAGTGCATAGAATGATAGGAGCATAAATCAAGAGCCAGAGGAGCAAAAACATAGGTCAGGTAAGTTATAAAATCATGTAAATAAATAGAGACTATACTACGTTCACAATATTTAGGCAGTTTTAGGGGAAGAAAGCTATCCCCCCACTTGACCCTTACCTTTAAAATAATAGGTCAACAGCTGCTGATTAAGCAACATAGATAAAATAAAAAAGATGTGGGGGAACCCCTCAAATCGCCTAAATATTGGGAACAAAGTATAATACAATTTTTTCAGCGAAAACTAACGCAGGCAATTGGAATGCATGATGTTTAAATCAAAACATGAACTTGCTAGTAACTTATGATAAAACTTGACATGGCTAATCGAAGAGCAGATGTTTAGGTGACGTTGAGAAGATATATGATGCAAAGAGGAATCCAATATTCCAAAGTCAAATAAGAGAACAGTATTCTGACTTGAGACTGCATCGCATTAAATTATGAGATTTTCATTAGATGTACATCCTGTCACATTCTAACAGTAATATAGCATGTTGTTATGGAAGTAAACATGTTTTTAATCCAATTTACTTTCACTCTCAGACATTAATGTGGTGGATGGTCGTACCGCTACTATCAATACTATTTGTCTTGTTACTAATGGTTTGAACAAACTCAATGTTCTAGGTACACCATCACCAACCTGAACGTCACCCAGATGTGTTCCCCGTTTGTTGCCCAAGCCGCTCTCGTGGTGGTGTGTGGAGGTGTGCCTGCTCCCCTGGCTCCCATACTGCTCCAGTATGTACTCCAACAGGGTGGCTCACTCTTGTGCCTCTGCTCCGACCTTCTCGGAGTCTTCCTGCCGATCTTCCGAACTGCCGAAGTACGGCCCGACCAACTAGTCACCTTCTCATACTCCCACTGGAAACACGTCCAGATGCTACATCATATTTTTTGCTACCAACAATCTAGTTCGGCCAAGTTCTCCTCACCTGATGATACCAGCAGGTAGACATTTTTTTGTTATTAGGCTTATAATTCTTATTCGTACACAGTGTTACAATGAATAGTACAAATGTGTGTATCTTAAACTTTATTGCTTATTGGAAATATGTTTGATGAACAGTGAGTAATTTTGGTCACATATCTATGTTACATAAGTGTATAATACTCTTATAAAACGTCGGAAGCAGGAATGTGCTCATACTGGGGAAGAGGCCAACTATGCAATAGAACTTGGAGAAAGTCCAAGTATAGTGATATATCTGATTTTTTTATTGCAGGAAAACATCTAAACTAGTGAAAAAAATGGTTTGTTTTAATCCCAAACTTTGTCAAAAAGAAAGAAGAAAAAATAAAAAAGTATGGTAAGTTTGGTACAGTACTTCGCTTTATAGATCTCCCTTGTAGTGCATCGTTGATGGTAAAAATAGAATTGTTTGCATAACTTAGTTATCAGGGTTGGTAGCAGCAAAAGTGTTGTTTTTCAGTTCTTAATTTTTATTAGTAAATCTATAATTCAGTAGAGTCTTGATTAACCTACATAAAACAGCCGCGGAAAGATCAGAGAAATATGAATTTTTGCACTGCTCCTGAATTTCATCATGATTGTAGGCCTAATATGTGATCAAGGCACTATCGTTATCTCTTATGATCTTCCGCCGTACCTGTGAAATCTAGATCATCTCCCATGATGGCGGGAAAGTCTTAAACATCCTGTGATTGCAGAGACATCATCATTGTCTCTCGTAATAGCACTGAAATCTATTATCTCTCATGATCCTCCGCCATAGCGGTGAAATCTAGACCATCTCCCATGATGGCGGCAAAGTCTTGAACATCTCCTATGATTGCAGAGACATCATCATTGTCTCTCGTAATAGCACTGAAATCTATTATCTCTCACGATCCTCCGACATGGCGGTGAAATCTAGAACATCTCTCAAGATTGCTGCAAAGTTATGAACATCTCCTGGGATCGCAGAAACAAAATATCTAATCCTAACGCAATAGCGACGAAATTCTGATCATCTTTTGTAATCACAGAGACGACATTATCACTTGCGATCGTGGCAAAATTACTATCAGTTGGAACAAATCTTGTCCCAAGAAAATCCCAAATTACAAGTGATTTCGCCCGAAAATTCAGAAAATTTTTTCCCTAAAATTTCAGGACCTATGAATTTTTATTTAATTTAATATGAATGTGAACAAAAGTGTGAGTGAGAGTTTTGTTTGCTTCAGTACGGACATCCCCAAGTCAGTGGAAGTGTTGGACAGTGACAACAAGCTACACACATTGTCAGTCAGAGTGCTGGGAGTAGAGGAGACGTGGCAGACACCCAGTCTGTTGATGGCCACTGAGGCTCACTCTGGTGGCAAGGTTGTCTTCTCTCAGGTAACATTATCAAAACATTCTATCTAAGGCTGGGCATACACGTTACGGTATACCGGTGACGTATAACTGCGCAGGTGACCTGTACAGGTATACCAGAGCATGTGTGTGAGCCTGTTTAGGCTAACCTTCACAGGAAAAATGACCTGTGCAGGCAACCAAAAAAGAATTGAATTTTCATTTATTATACCTCACAGGTTTGCTTAAACTGAGCGTATGTGTGGGTCCGTACGGTATGCCTACAGATTTGAGTCAGTAGTGGCGATTTCTCCAACTAGAGAGCTTCGCGTTCCTGTGTTCTGTTGCTGTATGGTTGACATTTTCTTGTGTGTTTTGCGCTGCGTTTACGTCATCATGGCTGTTGAAAAGGGAATTGAGTTCTAGAGGAATTCATTGAAATTTATAAATCAGAACCCTATTTGTGGCGAATTAAGAGCAAGGAATACCATGACCGTGATGCAAGAGAGGCCAAACCTACTAAAGCAATCATAATCATCTTGTTAGCTCGCCATTTCTCTATTACCTACTAGTATATACGATATAATACTACCATCTCTCTTCTAGAAATCTTTCACCCGTCCGGTTACCGTACAGTTTACCGTAACGTGTGTGAGCTCTTGCCTGTACAGGTATACTGGAGAGTTATACTTGTGCAGTTATACCTCACCGGTATAACGTAACCTGTATGCCCGGCCTAAGAATTAAATAACCTTATGTAAATAATAAAGCTTAAGTTGAACCAACATGTTTAGAAAGAAGCACTTCATAGCACAAAGAAACACAAAATTCAATGTGCACTATCCTTTTGTTGTGTTGGTAATAAATAAAGAAGGATTTTTCGATATTTGCTATTTTTTGATAATATATCAACAATTTTAGTTCAGAATACATTTTATTGCTAGATGGCTAATACAGGATTTTGATTTTTCAAACATCCAGCGCTTAGATGAGTTTTGATTCAGCTATGTTTTATACATTTGTGGTGATATGTATTCAATAATCACTTAGCATGATTCAGAGATGGCTTGTGTTCTCAGGTACATCTGGAAGCAGATCCGGTCCAGTACGAGGGAGATGGAGACAAAGCCAAGGCCCTGAAGGAGAGCAATCATGCTCGACTGGAGATCTTCTCTGACCTGCTGACAACCCATCTGGGCCTTGAGTGTAACAAGGAGAAGGGAGACAAGAAGTATTCTGTCGCTTACTTCCTTGGATCTCATGAGGTATGGCAGAACAAATCGGAAACATAATTTAAAATAGGTGATTCCTGCAGTGTTTCACCTTACCGCACCTTTTACTTTGGCGTTTTCAAATTTTTTACATAAAAACCCAAAACAGTATGAAAGTAATCGCAACAGTTACTTGGCAAGAAACTGCTCACAGAATCTAGCACCCTCTTCACTCACTGACTGCTAAAGCTGGGCAGAAGGCAGGTCTAGCAGGTACTTGCTCTTATCACTGGACACAGCCATTTGAGGAAACACCTACAAAGTCTAGGAATCGTCAATGACAGTCAGAAGTGTCGACTTTGCATTGCAACTAGTCAGATGAGAGTTCAAAACACATTATTCTGCACTGGTTACAGACTTTGGACTAAGAGAAAGGCCCTGTTTTGTCTAAATCAGCCAGGTTATGAATCAGACGCTTACATTGGACAAAAGCTCCTGCAACTGGTCAAGGACACTTGCACCTGGTTAGTGGCAAGTGGGGCATGCACAATAAGCTTCAGTTGACGTGCTTGGACCCCACATGTTGATGTCCACCCCTCTCGCAATACAATACAAAAAATCGCAAGAGTTAGTGCAGGTTGTGTACACTAAAATGAGATAATGAAAACGATTTGGCAACACTGGCAGTAAATACTAATACATCAACTTTTAAACTGTTATTATTCCATGAGATATTGAATGCAATTACCACCTTGATATTTGACTATTGTAGGCTTTATATGAATTTGTCGAGTCCTTGAATGAGTTTTTCAACGATTAGTAAGTAAGGGAAGAAAAACAAACGAGTTTGGGTAAGTCAAGAATGTTTCTTCAACCCTATAGCAAAACATAAATAAAAACTCAGCTGTTTTCTTGATGGTATGCAAACATTTATTTAAAAACAATTTGAAAATATTGTTGACCTATTGTGTTTTACAGTAACAGTAGCAAAAATATAATTCGTATTTGTGTTCAAAGCATTTTTGCTGAACTCGAGATGTTAAAATTTGGTTAGAAAAAGCTATTTCAAATTTACTTGGTTGCCAGCTGAAACAAGAGTTCCTGAGTCGGCACAAGAACCGGCTGGAGGGAGGCAACACTCTCAAATTGCCAGATGTGACTCTCAAGTTCTGCGGGAAAGGAGTTTCTCCTCCGGAAGCATCGGCAAACCTCATGCCAGTCCTGCTGTACACCTGCCCTGAGTCCTTCTCCACTGTCAGCTACTTTGATGTGAGTCTTTTTAAGCCTCAATAATTATGTCTTAAGATCTTGGCTCAACAAGGCTTGAATTTCCAAGCTTCAATCAATTTCAATCAATTTTAACCCAACAGAGTTTTGAGCACTGAGTAATTTTGGTGAATTTTACCAGGTTTAGGTTCCTCCCAAGGCTATTTGTTTTAGATCAATGTTTGTTTGTAGAATCTCGGGTCACAGACTCTCGGACGTCTGGTGATCTTCTCAGATGTTATGAAGACTGCCATGGCTGTCCTGTCAGGCCCGCCACTGGCCCACGGACTGGCCGTCATACCTTGCCAGCAGACATCGGGTGTAGGTAAGTTGACCATCTGTTGTTCAACCCTTTAGGTCCGATATATATTTTTAAATTTAACTACAATAGAACCTCTTTAATCCGAACCCCCGTAATCCAAACGTCCGCTAATCCGAACCGCTCATTGCTGTACTCTATACACAGTACAGCAGTTCTTTATTGTATACTGTATATAATTTATAGTACCTACTGTTTATTCACCATATTTCCTACTGTATTAAATAAACACTGTATTTTACTTTATAAATTATTTTTTCACTTTTCCCAAAATAATTTTAATCAATTTTAGCCATGCTTTAACTATTGTTATGTAAAAACAACAATATGTTCTGTAATCCGAACTATTCAATAGTCCGAACTACCCCAGTTCCCAATTAGTTAAGATTATAGAGGTTCTACTGTATGTCTGTTTTACAATTTTTACTTTTTGGTTTTTCTTTTACATAAAAACAAATATTCTTACAACACAAGTTATTGGTGACACACACAGTTAAGATGGGTGAGAACTAGCCAAACGCCTAATTTGAGGTGAAACTCGTAAATAATTTACTCTGTTAACTTCCACCCGAGTCATCCTCAGTTTAGGGGAGACTCTCTTTACACTGTTCATTGCGGTTGCGCGATGGCCAAAATAAAACAATATTATGAACAAAAAAGTTATGCCTAATTTTATTGTAACATAAAAGTAATAGGTTTTATTATAAATGCTTAGTAAGAAGAAACATTGGATGGATTATTTGGTACAACTACAAACTCCCACAGACATACTATGACCATAGACAATAGAGTAAATATAGACTGTCAAAGAAAGGTTTTGCGATCTGCCGCTAGAGCGTTATCGCCGTTCGATATAGGTTATCGGTATTCTATTCGGTTTCATTGTCAACTACTCGCCAGCTGTTACCAGCACTACTACTCTTGCAAACGAAATGCTTACTATATCGTTTTTATCTTCTTCTGCAATCGCGTCAAAATGATGAACATCCTCCGCGGCTGTGTAGACATCATCATTGAATGCCGTGGTCTCAAAACGTCATCGTCGTCCACGATTGCGGCAAAATCATGAACATCTTCAGCGGCCGTGTAGACATTATCGTCTTCGTCTTGCGCGATCGTAGAAAAGACATGATCATTTTTCCCGCGGTCACAAAAACTTCGTCTAGCACGGTCGCGGTCACGAAAACGTCGTCTAGCACGGTCGCGGTTTAAGAACATCTCCCGCAGTCGTGTAGACATCATCATCGTCTTGCGCCGTCACGGAAACGTGATCGTTGTCTAGCGCGATCGCGGTAAAATCATTAAATTTCCCGACTTGGATATCAATATAAAGACTAAATCCCAACTTTTTAAGACTATTTTGAAATTCAATACTAATGCCTGACTTTCCCGTTTTCCCCGACTACTAGACACCCTGGTTAATTAGATTTTGACCTTGCAAATATGAAACAAAACCTTCCAAAAAACCACTTCCTAAAATTATGGATTAATAAAGAAAAACTTTGAATCATTGTAATGAAACTACAAAAGTATAACAAATATATGTTAAAAAAATACAATAAATGATGACATTTAAATTAATTTATTGCTTAATATTAAATAAGTCAGTAAACTCCAATTCCGAGGAATTCCTCCAAAGTTGGCAACACTACTCCCAACTACCAAGTTGTTATGGAAACGATCTCTAGCACTTGATGCTGCAGCGGTGTGCGCCGTAACTACACATTACCCCTAGCAGTCGGCGCCGGAATATACGCTAACCGCAGCCACAGAAAACATACTACTATAACCCAGAATGCCAACCGCATAGTAAAAAGTGTTAAGTACTTTGAGAGAGCTTTGCCTGTCAGTTCGTAGGCAGCGCCACCAAAACATGCACTCAGCATAGCAACCCTGGTGGCGCTGCCTACGAACTGACAGGCAAAGCTCTCTCAAAGTACTTAACACTTTTTACTATGCGGTTGGCATTCTGGGTTATAGTAGTACCTATGTTTTCTGTGCCGCAGCACAGCTGACAGTCTATATTTATTTCTTTTTGTCTATGCTATGACTCTCCTTATTCATTATTTAGTAGTCTTTTATGATTTCCATATACTTTCTTCCACTTTTGTCATCAAGAGTACTACTTATTGAGCTTGTTTTGGCTGAAAGACATTTTCAACGAATATTAATATTAATAACACTATAGTTGCTGAATCACGAAACCTTCCATAGTGACTACACGGTTGTGTATTCTATGAATATTGACTAACTAATATTTAAATAATAAAATTATGATTGATCTATTAATTAATCTGTTTACCAATGCTTGCAATCTTGGTTTTGACAGCTGGTAAGTGTACTTTTGATGTTTTTTATACATTTGGTTCTCTTTAAATGCATGTAACCTACATTAAATGTTCATTGTTGACACAATTCTATATAGGTACTCTTAACTTAGCATTGCAGTATGAGTTGGCTGTATTATTTTTATTATATATATAATCATTGATGTAGAACCGTTTATTTTATTTGAAGTTGCTCAAACTGGTATTTGTATAGCAGTGACAAAACGTAAAAGTGCTAATGAAGAAGTTATTGAGCCTGTTGTGTTCAGGTAGAGGAGGCACCACGTGGCTTAGTCCCGATGGTTGTGCCATGTTTGGTCTACAACTGCACATCCCTCTCAAGTCAGAGCTGGGTAGACTGTTGCCCTTCCTACAACACACAGTAGCCGTGGCGATAGTGTCCAGCATATCTTCTCAGCCTGGCCTTGATGTGAGTAATAAATCAATAAAAAATGGTTCAACTTTATTGAATAGGTTATAGGACACTAGGCTCCAAGGCCTAAGTATTTACCAGGAAGTCTACAGCTCTCGGATATTTCGGGATAGCTAATCTCCAGGTAAACTCCCCAATACTATAAGTTGATCGGGATTTTTGCTAAAAAACTACAGATCTTACATATTGTGTCACCAATGTTTCTAACTTATTGTTAGGCCTAATGTTTTGTTTTTCCAAGTAATAAATCGTCTAAGCCAAAAGACATTTTATGCTGAATTGTGAACATTTTTTTTTTTAGATTTCAAGCAAAATAAGTTAAGTTAAATGTTAAATATCCAGGGAAGTTGTGCAACTCAATTTGACAGGTAGGTCATTTGTGCTGTCTTTTGTTAGTTGTCTTGTAAAATAAATATATCCACCCCCATTGAATATCCACAAAAAATGTTAGGTTTGGCCGAAAATACCTAAAAAGCCCTATATTTTTATTTAGCTGTAGAGTTTTTTTTTCGGCAGGCTTGACTGGATTAGGAAGTACTATCTTAACACATTCAAACCAGGATTTAATATTTACACCCAATTGTGTTTTGATAAAATGGATATTTTAAGGCTCATCGCAGAGGGATTTCTCTGTTAGAAATGTCAGTTTAATAGTTTCTAATTTTAATTTTTTTTTGCCATCAATTCAATCATATCTTTTATATGCCAGTAATGTAATAAACTAAATTTATGTTCCTAGGTATTGGAACTTGGTGTCAAGTGGCCCAACGACATCTACGCAGGCACAGTGAAGGTTGGGGGATTGATAATCACCAGTGTCTACACCAACGGATGTGCCATTTGTAACATTGGTAAGTGACTCACTTTCCTGGTTTTCATTAGTAAAATTAATTCAATACCCTTGATGGCCGGTGATGTTTAATAATTAAACTTGTAGGACTAATAAATTGTTGAATTACAAAAAAAAAAAAAAAAAATAGGCTATCGAAAATAAAACAATACCAAAACTAAAGCTATAACCTAAAAATATTATTATATGATGCCTTACTTGCTTTCTTTGGCAACTAATGCTGATATTTATCACATTAGCTTATTATTTTAGAAAAAAAGCAATGTACAGTAGAACCTCTCATATCCGGCCACCACGGGACCAAGCCTCTGACCGGATAACGATTTGGCCGGATAAACCAACCTACTATCAAAATGACAATTCATACCTAATAATAATAGGTAATCAATATATGCAATCAAAAGTATCATTTAATTCTGTTCGGGCATCATTTTTAGAAAAATAAACATGTTTGTAAAAAGGAAAAAAATATTTGTAGGTCAAAGTCATTAAGTAATGAATGTAGGTACAAATATTATGATTCCAGGTAACAAAACATGTTAAATGGAGGTAAAAATGACAATAAATTGTACTTAAAGATCATTAGGACTTAAATAGTAGGCCTACTTGCATTTCTACTCAACATTCTTAACCATTTTGTGAAATACAAAAATTAATGTACTCGTACTGTACTGTACTAAACCCACTTTGGAAATGATCAACCAACTGATCAGAGGTTAGACCTACTAGCTCAACTGAGTATAGTGACTCAGCAAATAAATGTATAAACAAACAGATAAATAATGAGAACAATTTATTTTATGACTTGAGCAGTCGCAAAGACTAGTGCTTGCATCTAAACGTCTGTAAGGTGTGAGAAAAAAATTTTGATAGTGGCTTCCTGGAAGGGGCCGTATAAACAGAGGACCGGTAAAACCAAGGCCGGATATGAGGGGTTCTACTGTACATACAAAAATATATTTATTCACCATTAATTCTTCAGTAAAGCTTTATCACATAATCCTGGACTTAAGTGTAACTTATCTCTTAAATTTGATCAGTTCTATCTGTATTACTTACGTTTCCCCTTTAAAAAGTCTCTAACCACTCAAGTAAAACTGAATAATAGTCAAGCAAAGCACCACTTGAAGATTAAGAAATTAAAAACCTTGACTGGAATAATACCATTCTTGTTTCTAAATTTAATTATTTTAGAGGCATTGTCTGATTGATGACTCACAGGGATATTTCCGATTACCGATCATGTTTATGAAGTGTTGGACCATCAAGTAAGCACTATATTCCTTAAAAAGTTTGTAAATAAGAAACCAAAAGCATATTAAATAATAATAATTAATTAATAAACAACATTTTCTTTCCTAGGCTGTGGTTTCAACCTGGACAACAAGCTGCCGACTGTGTGTATTAACGACATGATCACTCAACTGAACAAAGCCTCCGGACAGAAACTGCCTCTGTTGACCAAAGAGAAGTACTTTGCCATTCTGTTCACTGAGCTGGAGAAGCTGTTGCTCATGATAGAGATGGGACAACAAGACAAAGTCATAGAGTTGTATTACAAGTATTGGCTACACACGTAAGTTCAACTCATTTACGGTGGAAAGTCCTTATTATCTGGTTTGTTTGTAGAATAGTCACTAAATTCACATAGGCCCTGATGTTTCATCCAGTCACATGAAGAATTATGTATCCATAGTTAAAATATAATGTATTTGCTGTTGCGTTATGTCAAAAGTCTCATGAGTCTTCATCAGATCCTTATATGAGTTCTAGTCTTTCCGGAAGAGTTGTTCAGAAGTGAAGATCAGTTCTTAAGGCAAGATTAGTTCTTATAAGGATTTGATGATGGCGGGATTTCCATAATGCACGTAATGTAGTCACAGATGAAATTTCAACTATAAGGTGACTCCAGATAATATGAAATTTGTCAAATATCTTCAGAAAAACCACATAAAAAATAAATGGTCGTATTTTAATTTTAACAGTCAATATTTACAAAAGTGTCTAATTGTTGTTGACTTGCCAAGTTTGAGGAAAAATCAACTTGAGTGTTTTGTACAAGTTTGATTCTGAAGATACATTTTTCTATCTTCCTAAATTATTTTTAGATTTTATCAATAGAGAAATAGAGTAAAATTCTTCAGTCTCCAATAAGGTTAATCTTTGTTTGTTTGTCTATTTCACTAACCTGTTTAGGCCTACAGATTTTCAACAAATTTTTCGGGTCTAATTTCCTTGTTTTTTTTACTAATTTTCTCTGGTTTGTAGGAACGCTGAGGTGGACGTCACAGACTCTGATGGTCATACACGTCACGTAACCATCGTCGGTGTGGACGAGTTTGGCTTCCTACGAGTGAAGGGTGCAGACAAGGTGGAGTTCACTGTTCAACCGGACGGCAACTCATTTGACATGATGGCAGGCCTCATCGCTCCCAAAGTCATCAAGTAACTGCCCCAGTTGATAATGCAAACAGCTGATTGAGTCACTAGCATATCAGCTGGACAATGCTCTCTCAAGCTTTCTCAGTGTGTTCGCGATCATGTTTGGAAACCTGATATTAGATTTTCGGAAATGATTTACCACGTGACTGGTGTTGAGTTGAGATATGTTCGTATTCATTACCTATGTTGTTTTAAACATAGAACACAAGTAAGAAGTCTAGTATTTTTTCATTTTAAAATTATAAATTTGTTAGAAATTAAATATTTTTAAACTATTTTTTAGGTTGTGGCAATAGTCTATGAAACTGATGATAATTTGTCAATCATTATATTCAAAAATATTAAATGAAAATACAGTAATATGTATTTAATTTGTTTGAAATGTTTTTATTGTTGAGTGTTAAAAAAAATCTAGTCATAAATCTACCAGTTATATAAATTATTTTATTGTAAAAAAGTTAGGCTAATCCTAAAAGTAAAAAAATGAAGTATGACCTTTACATTATTTTCACTCTATCCACATTTAGCAAGAAACAAGAGCTAAATGTTTTTTTGGAAGAATGAAATTAACACACTGAGAAAGCTCTAATCCCAAAGAATCTGTGTGTAGTTCATCTATTAAGTACTTAAATACCGACTTTTACAGGTGTTTTGAAATATTTATTGTGCATTTAATAGTCCCACTCATCTCACTATATATAAGTATCGTGTACGATCCACTTTCATTTTTTACTAGCAAGGATGTTAGCTGTAGAAATTTGTTTTAACTCCAATTGTACCGTTACCGTTGGAAGTTGAAGTATATATTTTTGTGTGGAACTAAGTTCACAGGCCTATCATAGACGATAGTTTCTATTATTCTAAAACATTCCCTTTGCTGTGATTCTAAATCAGACATTACATATTTAAACTGTGTTGTACATAATGTTATGGACTTTTATCTGGACATTCCAATAGGTTTATGTTCGCTTTCGGACAGTGGTAATTGCAAATATATTTGATGAGTTATCGTACGCTGGACTGATGGTTTTGATAGTAGTAGATCGATAATATGAAAGCTAAACGCAAATAAGTTGTTGAAATAAAACATCTATTTTCATTCAGCTGAGGCATATTCTCCTTTAATACATTGGTATGTTGCATTGTCGCTCCGGCCGGCCCGTTGCTACGGTAATAAACGTTTAAACATAAACATTGTGCAGAAACTCGGTAGACCCGTACTGCGGCGTGCCCACTTTTGTCTCCCCACGTTCTTGTATCAGAGAACTTCATGCCTAACGTTTACTTGATTTTACCACAGACATCACATAGCTCGTAAACGTTACACTTCCTCAAAATGAATGTATAGGTTTCAATGAGGTTTGGATTATTTTTGAAGTGTTCTACTGTTTTACTCGTCTTAAATTTCTCATTCAAGTTATTGTTATACTGAATACTTAATATTATATTTGTATTGTGTTTAGCTTGTTAATATCTTAATGTAGTACCAAAAATAAGGTTTCTTACAATTAGTTGAGAATAGGTTTAAATGGTTAAAAATTAAACCTACGATTTAAATCTGTTCATAAAAATGTGTTAAGAATCTCACCGTGCTAATATACTGTATTTATTCAAGTGTGTTACAGTATGTTATATGTCTCTCAGTTTTGCTATTAATTATGTTGTTGAACGCTGCAAATTGAACAAATACATTGTTGCAGTTTAATCTGAACAACTTTTTGAGGTCCCAAGAAAAAATACAAAACTAGTCAGTAATTAATTAAAGAGAACTAATTAAAGTAACCTTACACACAAATTCAACTGTGATAAACCTATAAATTAAATCTATCTAGTTCTTGCACTATGAACTTAAAAAATAGTTGCCAGATTATTTCTTGCCATTCATGTACTTAAATCTTGCTAGGTTTGTAGTTAGTACTACTAAGTTATTGTACTGTTACTAGTAACAGATTAAGGATGTTACCATAAAATGGTCCATTGATAGATTATTGTTCGTTGATTGATTAAAGGATTCAATTTATTTGAAAATGTATAAAAAATAATTATTTAATTAAATTTTTTTGTTAATACTTGTGTCGTTAACACTAATTTTACGCGATAGTTGCGTTAACTACTATTTTAAACTGTACAACTAAACTCCATCAGCATATGTTGGGTTTTCATGTTATCTTTCTTACCTATCTTTACAACAGTTGTGAATGGGACCACGTGTGTTCAAAAAAAGATATGCAGGGGTCAGATAAAAAAAAAACAGAGGTTGTAGTATTGCTAAAAGTGTTTGTAGGGAATATTATATTTCACCACTAGTCATGAAAGTGACCCATTTCGGGACGAGATAGTAGTACGGACATGCGAGTGATATTTTACATGGGAAACACTATCGAGCCCCAAAATGGGACTTTCTTGACAAGTATTGAACGATACTTTTTATCTCAATGAAAAAAACTACTTCATGAAATAAAAAAATAAAAATTATCTGACATTTCGTAATCTATTTATATTTCTTTGTTGATGTCAGGCAAAGTATTGTTTGTGTAGCGAAAGTAATGTTTATGTCAGGAAAAGTCAGCTGATCACTATTTGTTTTTGGTGTATAGAAATTGACGATTTTCAAAGATCTCAGCTGTATGGAAATGGGCTATTTTCGAATAAAGAGTGAAGAAAAATATTGTACTGTTTGCAGTACAAACGCATACGTTATTGTAATTACAATGGCTTACTGTTATTGTGCTTAGGTTGTGTTCAAACTTTAATTGTTTGGTTTTAACATATCATGATTCCTATATTTATATACACGTTTTGCGATACCACTTATTTATTTATTCTCAGTTTTTATACAATTTTGTTGTTTGTAGATATTTTACATTTTCAATTTTTTTTTATATTACCTACTGTTTGGATGTTATGTAATTGATTTTTATGAATATTTTAACTATTTGTAATGGATAAGTTTCAGTTTGTGTTTTCTTACAACATATTATGTTTATTCTCCAGTTTTCCCTCAATGCTGATTCACGTATAGAAACATTTCCTATCCTCTTACCAGGTTCAGTTGTTGGTTTGTTGCGGAATCAGGTGTTGTTTATTTTTACAACTTTTAGTTTTCAGTACTTTCTGTTGTAACTGTGTTGCTTTCAAAGCAAAGATTGTGATCTGAGTGAATATTTATTTATATAAAAAAATAATGCCAGTTGGGCAGAGGATAAGTGTTTAATATTGACAAAATCAAATAATTATATATTTAGTTAGGTGCTATGTAGCGTTAGGTGTGCCCGTCCCGAATGTCCTAGTATATTTTATGAATATTTTATAACTAATATTGATTTAAAAAATATTAACTACCACAATACTAGTTTCACAGTGATAGTGCCTTTATTGATGGATCCATTGTTAATTGATTTTTGTCTTTACTTTCAAGTTAAATTAATATGAACCCAAGTTCTTTCCAGTTTCATTGCTACTGGTAAAATATGTATGAACCACAATTTGGCCAACTATGGTCTACAAGTGAAGATTGAGAATAATAAGGGATGCTTTTCGACTTTTATCCGTAACTTACAGATTTTCAAATCAAACCGTTTAAAAACATATTTACATGTACTTAAATGATAGTAAATGTTTTACAAAGCTCATGTTACATATCTGTTTGTATTTTGATGTGCTTTATAAAAATAATTTAATCCTAGAACATAAATCATTATGATTTTCAACTATAAGATTAAAATATTATATCTAGACTTCAAAATTTAAATCTTTTAAGAATACTATTTTACACAGCTCCAATTCAACTTTCAACCACCGTGACAGTGGGAATTCTTCTTATAAACTCGTTGTAATGTTTCAAATAAATGCACTTCTTCTAATCGAAGGAATGGAAGTAGAAAAATCTGAAGGTTCTAGGATTAAAGCGCACAGCTTTGAATACATGGAAGATTGACGTAGCTCATAGTCACTAGTTAAGCCTCTCGTCGTCTGCTAGTCTGTGCCAGTTAGAAGTGTTGTCTGTGTCATGGAGTTATTTGGTAATTCATTCCAGATTTGCATTTCTAAAATACTGTCAAACATTTTGCTGTAATTTTTTGTTCATCAATGTCGAATGTATACATTTTATCGTTCCTTAGATTTTATCGTTAGGTTTAATTTGAGTGAGATTTTTAAAAGAGTTGTTTCAAAAACAAGTTCACTCTATTTGTGAAAATCCATTTGCAATAAGTATATTTTAAGTTATATATTGTCTAAATATTCAAAAGACCTCTGTTGATGTGTTGTTTTTTATTGTTTATCATTAGTTGTTTGTGAAAAAATGTAGTCAGACTACACTCATTTATTTATTTATGTTTGAATAAGATGTTGTTGTTTATCGATGTCTGTTGCGTTATTTGTGTCACCCGTTTCGTAACCGTTAAGCTGGTTAGTTCATTTACAATGAGAGAGTAGTGTAGGACATACTACAATGTCGTGGGTTTGTGTCCTGATGTCTCCCACTAAATGTCATCAGTTCAGCTCACTCTTGTGCTGTACCTGTGTACCTCTTGCTTTACTGGATAAGATCCGCGCACAAATCTTTGGCATATATGGATGGACAAATGCTAGGTTAAAGAGGCAGTGGGCCTCTTTTTTAATACTAAACTAACTGCTTTGGATCATTGTTATATTATTTGAAATGTAATTTTTTTGCTAACCCGTTATATTCTTGTTTATCTAATAGATATTTCATCCTTTATTAACGAAAAACAGTTTTACTTTTGTGATTTTCAAGAATCAAACATCCTCATAATCATAAGTTATGCCTATTTACTGTTGACACATTTTCATAATGTCTAATGACCTTTTTTCTTCTATGGGTAGTAGTGGTATATTTCAAAAATCACTACAGTAGATAACATTGAATGGTAATGTGGTACAAGATATTTGCTAAACATTTAAGTTTTATTTATTAATTGACAAATATAAATAAAATAAATATAAGTTCACATATGGATTTACGGAGCGAAATAATCTTCAGTCTCAAACCTTGGGTCCAGGACTTTTCCTGCCGCCACAATTACGTTCTTGGTGTAATCTCTGATGAAAAACAAGAACGGGTGATCTGCCACAAACTTCTCAATGTTGTTCCTCTTAGTCGCGCCGCTGGTCAGGGACGCTGAAATAGAAATAAAATTGTTTCTGATATGAGCACAAGTGGCACTATTAATCATAAGTCAAACTGTATGATATCTTTCAAAAGATTATAAATTGGAAAGACTTTCTGCTGACGAATCCGATGTAATGAAGACTGTCATTCTTGGTAAATAATGTCCCAAGTTGAGGACATTGAACGTCAATGGAACTACCAAACTGTTCAACTTCAGCTTAGTGTTGCCAAATAGGACGGTAACCGTTGCCAAAAACTCAATCTTTAAACGCTGAAACTTTTTGAAGAACAATATTGTAATTTAATGTGTATTTAACAAGATTAACTGTTACAGATAAACTAATTGTGTGTGGTTTTTTTTAATAACACAGAACAAATTATTTAAAGTTCATCCACTGATATTTTTATAATGTATGTTATTAAAAAATGAATACTGTATATTATATTATTTCCGTTAGATGAAAGGTTTGTTTCAACAATTACAAGGTAGTGATTTGTAACATAAAATGTGCTTCAATTGATTGTTTCAGTCGAACCTCAAATAGATAAGGTAAATATCTAAGGGGTTGGTATTGGAATTGCTGAATTTTCTTTGCAGAACAATGACATAATTGAGGAAATGAAACTTACAAGTGAGGAAGTTGGTGTCTGCTGATCCTTCGTCTACTTGAATGTTGACCAATTGTACGAGAGCTCCCATCTTGAGCTTGTCAGAACTCATACCTGAGAGATCTGCTTCGTTGGTGAACAGATCATTGACACCATACTGCACGTAGAAAACAAGAAAACTGTTAACTAGTGATTGTCAATGGCCAGGAGTTAGTTGAGAAAACCATTTAAAATAAGATTGAATTACAATGTTGTTAGGATAACAAACTATACGTTTTTGAAATAATTCAATCACTGATTTAAAATACAATTGAATAAAAAGTGTGACTTGTACTGTAAATCAGAAAAGAATTCCGTGGCCAGGAGTACACAGTTCAGTTGATAATGCTGCCTCTCGACAACTACGCAGGAATTTCTCCGGTCTGCTTCATGCTGGGATCGTGACAAAGTCAACTGGTAACGTGTGTGTGACAGGTCTGTTCGTTTTTTTAATGCTTAATCGTTGTGTAAACATTTGTGTATGTAATGTGTTTTGACTTAGACGCTGCTTCAGCTGTGATCTACATGTCTGATCTAAAGGCGTTGTGATGCCAAAATAACCGTAACAACCGTTACAACTTTTGAGACGATCGACAAAGGTATAAAGCATATTGTTTACTTATGTTACAACTCAGGGGCTAAAACATAAGAGTTTTAATTCTGAAGAAATTTGACTAATCCATAACCTTTTCAGTACTTATGACTAATGCTTTTTGATATTGTACCCTTTGGTGTCAACATACAGTACAGTATTTATTAATGTTTTTGTAATATAGCCTGTGGTGTAGTGGAGCAAGAAAGTGTGGAAATGGCGTTTCGACCCCAGGTTTTCCAAAATACTCAATTTTTATAGGAGATCCGTGTTTATCTGATGCTTTTGTGAGCGTTTCTGCACTGAGAAATTTACGACGACACCACTGGACTAATCTTCAAAACTGACCTTTAGACCCTCACGTTATAGCTAACCAAGGTTTTGTTTCTAATCTCACCTTCTGTAGAATCTTCTCTGGATGGCTGATGGTCTGTATTTGATACTTGGGCAGCATGATTTCCACAGGTCTCTCCACTAGGTACTTGTACACTTTGTCTAGGGAGAAGCCAGTGATGTCGGAAGTCAGCTTGGTCAACCCGTCTCTCTGGTTCGGTAACAGCACCAGCATGGAGTATCTGCCTCCCTGTCAGCAATAATGTCAAGTTGGAGTAGGAGGAAAAGAATATACAGATGAGATTAGAGTTATGCTACTCCAACACATCAGAATGCATATTTCACAGTGAGGATGAGTGTAAAATAAATTAAAAAGATTGTCCAGCATTCGAGCACAGCTCGGTCTAGTTTCGAACTACCAAAAAACTTAAGATATTCTAAGGATTGAACTGGCAACTCTCTGATTACTAGAAAAGTTGTATAATCAATTATCTTTCTATCTAGAACTTAACAGTAAAAAGGAAGTTGGTTTGTCAATGCGATTTGTATTTTCAAAAAGTTATGAAGAAAGAATTGTTACTTAGATTAATTCTGGATTAGTTACCAGTATCTTTATATGTATTTTCCCAGTGGCAAGAACTAAAATATCAATTATTGAACTATTGTTACCTAGCCTTTGACAAAGGTTAAAGGTAACAATAGTTCAATAATTAAATATTAGTTGTAATTGCAGTAACAATATTGCTTATCAAACCCATTAACCTCGTGTATTACCCATGTATTTTCTCATTTTGTTGTTCACCTAAACCCTTTGTTATACAATTTACACCCAATGTAGTTATTATAATCAATCGGTTGTAATACAACTGAGGATTAGAAATTAGTACTTCTTAAGAGTCCTTGGAGCCTAGACGCTCTAACTCGTAAAACAGTTAAAGAACTACAAAGAAAATTTCTAATCCCACAGTTTCCTAGATATTTAAACTATAATCACTTTTGTGTTGAAAAAATATTTTTGGATGATAAATAACTCTTCAGCAGCTTTTTGAAATTATCCAAGATGGCCGATAGCTTCATAGGACTTTTAATGACTGCTTGTATAAAAGGAAGGTATTGTTGTTGGTATATGCTTGTACCAACAACTGTAGTATACCAACAAGTACAAGTAGTATACCAACAAGTTGGTATATTGTTACAGATTAAATTTATTTGATCTTTTAGTTGTCTTCCAATTGAATACATTTCAATCGATAAAGATTTTACAAATTCAGGAGAATATAAAACAACACGGATTGAATTGCGTATTAGATTCAATTGTTACCTCATACGGCAGCTCCAAAGCAGTTGCATCCAGCTCAGGAACATTTCCTATGTCGAAGCTTCCCTTGCTCTGCATCATCTTTACTTGCTTCTTCTCAGTCAAAGATTTATAGAAGATTCGTTTATCTTCCTCCTTTACGAGTTTGAATGGTGTCTTCCAGTTGGCTCGGAAGTAAAATCCATTGAAGATGATCATCTTAGTCTGCGGGTCAAGATCTAAGAATGCACACAGTTGAAATTAGTTAACTAGTGAATTGTTATTTGTGTAACTAGTGAGCAAAGTGGCACTTTGCTGCACACTGCGGCTAGTGCGGAATGATCTTGAGTGCAGCAAAGGCCTTTTGCACTTGTGTTACACATTATATTTTTCCTACAGTCACTATAAAGCATATGAATAATTAGTCTTTCAAACACTATACAACACGTTTTTAGGTTCAGCTGGCAGGTGCCCCTAGAGAAAGTAGTCCCCGGTCCGTATCACTCCGCTACTTTTTCCTCGGCAAGCAATGTGCTCCGCGACTTGATAAATAGTTTCGTATATTTTTGTACTTTACAGTGGTTTCGGCGCCAAAAAATGTTTTGAAGGTATTTTCTTGTTTATTAAGATCGTAGGAATGTTTTAAAAACGTTTAAAAGAAAAAACCAGAAAGATCAGAAATACCTAAAAGAGAACATACACGAAATGACAGGTTAAATCGTAGTTATAATAGTCAATCAGCTGCTCATAGTATTATTATCTTTAAGCGTTGCCAACCTATTTCCAAGCGTACACGGATTACGTACATAATAGAACCTTACTGTTTTGTTTTGTTTCGTTGGAATTCTGATGTGCGCCAAAGTATAAACCGTACGACAAAGTATAAACCGTACGACAAAGTATAAATATGCAGCAATTAGCAGCTTTCTGTACTATAAACAGTACAAGGAAGCCAACTTTGTCAGGTGACTGTAGGGAAAATAGTTTACTTTATTGCATAAATAAAAGAGAAATCATTAGCTACCTATACAATTTCTCCTGAAACCCTTTAAAGAAAATATATTTTTACTAGCTTTTTTCATTTTGACGGTTTATTTCTTTACAGATTGTATTTTATGCTGTATAATTAGCAAGAATATTATTTTATTAGACATTATTCACACCCACAATAAAATACAATTACCTGGTCTGTTTTTGTCTACGATCTTGTTAGCTGACAGTGCCGTGGCGACATCTTTGCTTCCATCGTACAAGCTTGGTGCTGCTTTTTCCTCTTTTTTTGGTTCATTAGCTGTTTGACTCTTTGCCTTATCCTCCGTTTCCTCTTCCTTTTCTTCCTTGTCTTCTTCTTTTTCCTCCT